TTTTCCTTTTCTGAATCACATCATTACAACTCTTGCATGCCAATTGCGCAAAATCATGGCTAGTTTCTTTCTTGATCTTTATTTTGCTTTGCCTAGTGTTTCCTTGAGGCCCACTGATGTTTTATTTTGATTCATATTTGTATAATCATTGTCTCGTATCTTTTGAAAAAGATCACTCTAGATTTTTTTGGCTTCGTTTTTTAGTAGTGGGCCTTTTTACTGACCTACCTGCACAGTTACTTTTCTTATTTTAAAACAGAGCCTCAAATAAATAAACAAATAAATACATAAACAGGGCCTCACTAAATCAGGAAATTGTCAGGCAGGGCTTGACTTTGTAATCCTCCTGTCATCACACCCGGCTTAAGTCTTTTTCTAATTTTCATTCCCTTTGCCTGCAGTGTATATTGAAGTTCTTCAGTTCTATGCTCTGTGGAAAATTCTTGTTCATGTATGAACTGGTAGCTAAGGCACCCACAGACAGACATTCTGGGTCTTATCTGCTGCTTTCTAAATTCCATGGCTTCCTTATGGTAATGTGTTGCTTTACTGCTATAATAAATGCTGAAATAACTCAAGAAAGGGATTGGGGGACTTGGAGGTAGCTCAGTGATAGAACTTGCCTAGCACAGTAGAGGACCTGGATTTGATCCAGTACTGCCAGTAAATAAATAGGCACCAGTTGAGTCTGTGTGTGCTTAACAATGTCCTAATTTTGCCTTCACAAGTAATTTGGGTATCAGCATCCCAAGCTGAAAATAATTTCCCTATGAATTTTAAAAGTCTTATTCTACTGATTCTAGTGTACCTAGTAGAATCTACTGCCACCGTGATTCTTGATTCTTGCAGAGTTTGTGTTCTCCTATCCCTGGAATGCTTTTTGGATCTTTATCCCTCATCCTGAAACCTTTAGATGATATGTGGCCTTTTCCATTTCCACTGGTGAACACTCAGAAGGCTTTCCAATACTTTTCAGTGAATTATTTTGTGGTGGCCACTCTCTCCTGTCTTTCTTGGAAAATTACTATTAGTCTCTTTTTTTTGGTTTTGGTACCAGGGATTGAACTCACGACCTCGCACTTGCCAGGCAGGCATTTATGCCACTGAGCTAAATCCCTGGTCCCTGTTAGTCTCTTTTTTGACCACCTCCTGGACTAACCCTCTGTGTTTTATACTGTTATATTTTACATATATTCAGGGGAGGTTGCTCCAGGTTTTGATAACTCTTCTGTCAAATATTTTATTTCCAAGGATTCCATCCAATTTTCTGATTCTTCCTTTCTCTAGTACTATGTGGCTGTTTGATAGATGCAATACTGCTTCGTATTTCTTTGATGACAACAGTCTCATCAGGCTTTTTCCCATGAGTCCTCCCTATTCCCCATATTACATCTATCCCCTCTGACATCAGTTTCTCTGTTGATCATACTATAGGAAATACTTAAATGTTGGTGTTTCTGAGCTGTCAAGTTACTTTTAAGAATGTGCCAAGTATGTATGACTGGCTGGACTTCTGAGCACATGACTGGAGGCTGCTGATCAGTAGGCTTCAATCCTGGCTGAGGAACCAGAGAAAAGATCATGTTTGGGAGCTCCTCAAACGCCAGGTTGCACACGGCTTGTGCTGGGGTATCCGAGACAGCCCCAGTTGCACACATTTTCTCAGAAAGGTCCTTTGCTGTCTGAAGGAAAGTCTCCTTTGTTACCAGCTGGTTTTACTTCTGACATAGGTAAAATACCCAGTTTTCAGGGATTCTCAATGCCAGAACTGGAGCTGTATGGAAGATGACCATGTCCTAAACAGCTTCTCTCTGTCTTCACTCCAGTAACTTCTGAGTTTCAAAATCCTGCATTTTGAAACAATCCTGTTCTACCACATGATGAGTTTCCCTTATCAGCAAGACTGAATGCATCCTGGCTAATACTTCTTTACTCGGCATTCTGTGCCCTTCATCTTCCCACAATTTGTTCAGACTATTTATCCTCTTGTTCTGTGAACCATACTTGGTATTACACTTTTTTAGTGTTCTTTTGCTGTAATTTTGATCCCTAGGAGAGTGAAAAACAAATACTTGTGATCACTGGTTCATCTTCAACCAGAAAGTAGGAATTACTATTATTATTTTAGATTTAAGAAACAGAGGTTCATGTGATTAAGAGATTTACTTAAATCACACTGGTAAAAGGGAAGGACCAGAATTACTTCTTTTTGTACAGGGCATCACTCAGCTGGCATGACCTAGAGAAATAATGTCTTGCATAATAGTATGAATTTAAATATGTTGTCTCTTGTGTATTAAAAAAGATCTGAAGCCAAGCTTGGTGGTGCACACCTATAAACCCAGCACTTGGGAGACTGAGGGAGGAGGGTCCCCTTGAATTCAAGGCCAGCCTAGGCTACACAGTGCATTCAAGGCCAGTCTAAACTAACATAACAAGACCCCATCTCAAACACCAATCAATCAATAAACGAAAACAAAATTTTTGAGGGATGATGTCAGGCCACTGGTGTCATGTTCTTGGAGGGAATACTGGGGCCTAGCTCCACTCTCTCTTTTGTGTCCTGTTCATGAGTAAATGGTTTTATCATATGCTCTGCCAGTAATGTACTACCTAACCATCACCCCCAAAGCAAGGGGGTTTAACGGATATGGAATAAAACCTCAAAACTGTGAGCCAAAACCACCTGTCTTTTTAAAAAGTTCATTATCTCACATATTTTATACATGGCAAGAAGCCGCTAAATGCACTTACTGTATACCAAATACTGCAGTAGATTCCAGGGACAACTCTGTATCTTCTGCCAGGGTTAATGACCCCAAAGGACAAGGACCCTTTCAAATCCCATAACTCACAGGAATACATCCCTCCCACACTGGTTTAAGACTTCAAGTGTTACACAAAATTAGGGTAATGGTTCAAAAAGGTAAGAATTTTTTAATTTGTGGAAACCTCTAGAAATTAAAATCCCACAATATCACACAGGAATCTATCCCATTTATAATGATTTAAGTCTTAAAAGTGTTACCTAGAATTATTCTAATTCAATCATAAAAATGGCATGAGGCTTTTAAATAGCTGGCCATTTATTCTGCAAATCTTTATTGAACCCCATCCTCTACCAGTAACTAGAGCTATACCTAGGGACCCGATGGTGGAAAACAGAAGATCATTTCTACTGAAATTTATCACTTACCTTAGTGGACAATGCTAAATCATTGTCTTCTTTTCTCTTTCTCAAGAGTAGAGGCTAAATTAGTTTTATTTTGAAAGGCAGAGAATGACCATTGGCCAGAGCCCAGGAAGATCAGGCTAGGCAAATGGTGAAATAGTCATCTGCTGATCTTGGTTCACTGCGATGTTCAGATGTAGAATACAGTAAAATAAATAAAACAATAAATAGCATAGTTTAACAAAAAGTCTTTCTATTCAGAGTATTTCCCTTAAAATTTCACATTTTCCAAAGCTGTTTTGGTCTCGGTCTGACACCAAGGGTAATTCACTGTGAAATCTGGAGTGGACATATATTCAAAGGTTAGCATGCAGGCTGTGAACTTGGAGAAAGAACAAAGCTTTCTAGAATTATAAACAAAGAAAATGGAGATTAACAACCCTGGTTTCCTCTTCTTTATATCAGTACATACCAGTTGTCAGACAGCCCTGAAAAAATCTATGCCATTCTTGAAAGGCAGATAATTATTATCAAAGTGTTTCTGAATCACATTTTAATTTTCAATAAAAATGGCACGAAGAAGCATCGTAACAAATATGGAACTTCTAAAACTTCGGTATTTGCATTTAAAAATGTTTCCCAATCTGATTCCACTCTCTTCAGTGGACTTGAAACCTTTCCAGCAGACTGACATTCTGATGAAACATAAAAGAAAGACAACATAGAAGGCAGGATGGGTGTGGGTTAGGGAGGTCACCGTGAAAAAGGAAAATACTCTTCTCAAAGGGCTGCTGATTAAGCAGTGCCTGATGACAAACTTCCACGAGGGAGCCCCACCTTTAGCTTACTTCCAAACAAAGCAAGCTGCAAAGCCAGTCCTGACAGAACTGTCACTTTTTGCCCTCTTACTGCAAAAAGGGTCCAGTTTCTCAGGAAACTTCTAAGACGACTTGAAAAGATTGTACTGGCCGAGTGGAAAGAGTATGGTGTTTAGAATAATGTGTCAGCCCGTGTCCTATTGAATCATGTTAACAAATTCCTTATCTATAAAGTATGGAAGAGTGAATAAGTAAACAAAAGGATTCTAAACTTCTACAAACTCTTTCCCCTTATAACTTTCTGGTTTAAAAAAGCTTAAATTACAACATCATAAACTGATCCATCTACTTTTTATATACCTGAGATTAATGTGTGCATTTTTGTAATAACATCATAAGGTTATGGCTAAACACACATATTCACCAGAGTTGGGATGGCACCTCTTGGGCCTCCGCTGCATTAGGGGTCAGCACCTACTGCCCACCTTCCAGCAGGTGCTTTCTCAAACACAACACCTTCCTTTCCAAAATGTCTACTACTTTAACAGGGTAATGATGGCAAGGTCTCTACTTGACCTATTTACTAATTGAATCTTACAATCAGATTCTTACATTATCTAAGGCAAAATTAATTCACATAATTTTGTCAATGTAGGCTCTTTATATTTTTAAAAAACCTTAAAATTGCACCAAACATTGGCCTAAAAGTTCTTCTGGGTTATTTTATGGGATCATCATGACCAGGTAGCTTAGTAGTCTAATGGTTATAATTTAATCAGCCAAAATATGAAACCTGTTCAACGTTATCCCTATAGGATTCAAATGTTTATGCATTTATAATTTTAAAAATTACAATTCAGAATTGTGATACCAATTTAACTGTACTCCAACCCTTAGTATTTGAGGCTTCCAGATTTCTGCTTTAAGTGGGAAACTGTCAGGGTAGGGTTCAAAGTACATTATACTCACATCTCATCATCTTTCATATCTACGTGACAGATCAAGTCCTATTTGCTTTTATTTAAATTTTATTATTTTTATTAGTAACAAGCCAATAGAAATAGGATAGTAAAAGGAAAGTTCAGGAAAAATAATTTCCTCCTTAATAATTAAAACGTGCATACACAAGTTTGTATACACGGTTACACAAACAGTCCACAGAACAATGTGAACAGCTGATATCAACCTGGGCAAGGGTCCCCAGCCATGAAATATCTCAGGCAGGTTCCTGCCTAGATTACCAGCTTCTCCACACTAAGTGTACTTGTGGTTTCATCCTCTTCGTTTGACCCGAAATATCCTGGGAGGTCCAGCATCCTCTGCTCGGCCTCAGAGAGGCCAAATGACGTGTTGTCATAGAAGGCAAACTCGGGTTGGGCCGGGAAGCTCTGACACTTGTCCTTTCTGCATTGAGAAGGGCTCAGGGGACTGCCCCTCTGGTAAGTGTCTTTGGGGGAGGTGGGAGAAGACTGCTTCCTTGAGATGCTCCTGTGGCTGGGGGACGGCCCCCTCCGAGCTCGGTGAGGCTCTGTTCTCTCCACTCCTGCCACTAATCCAGCCTGGCGATCTGCCAGGTCGGGCTTCCCTGTGGGCTGGCCCATGGTGTAGGATTTAGGGACAGCACTTAATGGACCACTGGCTGCACCTGCTCCTTGGTAATACTCCAATCTTTCAGGAACCTGGTGGGCACCTCGACTTGGAGGCCTAAACTTGTCCTCTGTCTGGTCCCAGGTCCGAGTCCTAGAACTGTAGGTGGGGGCTTGCCGTGGAGTCAGAGTGGACATGCTCCTCTCCCGGAATGGCCGGGCCTGCTTGGTTTCATGGAAACTGGCCGTTCTCCTGAAGTGGGAATTCCGGGAATGGCTCCTCTCAGAAGAGCCCCCTCTGCCTGCCATGTGCCGCAGCTGAGACCTGCGCAAGAGGGTCTGGCTGGGGCTGACTGCACAGCTGGCCTGGGCCAGGCTGAAATCCAGCCTGGAGGGAGGCCTCTCCCCAGTGCTCACCACTGATGGGTCCAAAAATGGGGATTTGATCCGGAACTTATTTGCTGCTGTCGCCGCTGCCGCTTCTTCCGGGCTTTCCAAGTCTAAGGGAGGGCCAGCTGCAGCATCAATGGCCGTGTCTGTCAGGGGACTCTGAGACACGTGGTACACTTTGGTGGTTTCGGTCAGACCTTTCTTCTTCATCTCTTTCAACTGCTGCTGAGCAAGGCGGTAGCTGAACAGAGGGGGGATGATCTTCTGTGCATTGGACTGAAAGCTCTCACTGCCAGAGGCATCGTCCTCCGGAGTCGCTGGCCCGCTGCACCTGTAGGTCAGAGGGATGCCACTGTCCGCTGGACTCCCCCCAGGCCCATCGCCTGTGTCGGAGAAGCTCCCGCGCTGCTCGCTCAGTTCACAGATGTTCTCCTCGTCTGAGTTCTTGCGGAAGCCAGGGGAATGGATGGAGTTGTGTCGAGCAGGGGTGCTGCATTTTGGGGGCCGCCCAAACCTCCTCCACAGTGTGATGAGCACGGTGGCCACGATGATGAACAAGCACAGGGATATCCCTGTGACAGTCACAATGTTGTTGGACTTCACTGGACCCTCTGGCGGAAGAGAAGATGGGCTGGATGGCTGGAAAGCTACAAAAAGAGGAAGGACAATGTGATCTGTACACCTGTCCAATTTATTTCACTGAAGAATATGGTCTCAAGGTGCATCCGTTTACTGATAAATGCCTTGTTTGTCCCTCTTTACAACAGAGTAGTTATCCATTGTATAAAAAAAACACACCTTTTTTATCCATTCATTCGTTGATGGGCATTTGGGCTGTTTTTAAAATTCAGTTATTATACCTTTCCTTTTGGCCGGAACCGCCATCTTCCAGTAATTCACCAAAATGATGAACACAAAGGGTAAGAGGAGGGGAACCCGGTAGATGTTCTCTAGGCCTTTTAGAAAACATGGAGTTGTTCCTTTGGCCACATACATGCGAATCTACAAAAAGGGTGGTATTGTAGACATCAAGGGAATGGGTACTGTATAAAAAGCAATGCCACACAAATGTTATCATGGCAAAACAGGAAGAGTCTACAATGTTACCCAGAATGCTGTTGGCATTGTTGTAAACAAGCAAGTTAAGGGCAAGATCCTGGCCAAGAGGATTAATGTGCGTATTGAGCATATTAAACACTCAGAGTCACGATAGCTTCCTGAAATGTGTCAAGGAAAATGATCAGAAAAAGAAGGAAGCCAAAGAGAAAGGAACCTGGGTTCAACTAAAGGGCCAGCCCGCCCCGCCCAGAGAAGCACAGGGAAAGACCAATGGGAAGGAGCCTGAGTTGCTGGAACCCATTCCCTATGAATTCATGGCATGAGCTGGGGAGGGAGCTCTGCCATTCAGCACCTAATTGGCAGCTAAGTGTCCTGGGCCCTGCTTAGGAATGAAAAATTATCCAGTGTTGTAAGGATGGTTTTCTTAATTGGACAGGTGTGGTGCCTTTACTTCAGAAACAAATATTTGGAGCAAATTTTCACTCTACCTAGTTAATTGTGTCAGGTCTTTACTCAGTGGTGTTTTTCTTGCTGAAAGATACTGCTGAGGTATTGTGTAGGTTATCCCAAACGGCCAAATATTTATGAAATATTTATATTGGCTTGAAGATCCAGTGGGGAAAAGATCACCACAGGATAGAGATGTATCAAAATAAAATAGAAGTCACTTCAGTTAAATAAAAGGAAGTCATTTCAGTTAATAAATTGTTTAAAGCACACAAAAAAATTAGTTATTAAATAGATTGTGCTGCTACATACATGTATATTCATACATCACTGTGGTGTGATGCTTTCCATTCTTTTGGGAAGATTCCAAGAAGGGGAATAAGCTGGGTCCCAAAATGTGTAATAGATACTGGGAATGGGAGGAAAATGTGCAAACGGGAAGGGAATAAGGGAGGAGGAGAGGGAGAAGAAAAAGATAATAGGACAGAAAAGTAGAAACAAAATTTCTGTAAATAAGGTGGGGAAGAGGGGTTGAAGGGAGGGGAGGGGATTAGGGCAAAAAGAAGACACAAGATATATTATGTACAGGTACGAATTCCCTGAAGAATGTGATCATTATGTGTGCCTAAAGTGTACCAAGAAAATCTACAAAAGAGAAAAAAAGAGGAAGAAGAAATGTTTTCTTTTGTACTAATTTCTCTGCAAAGTTTTAGGACTCAGCCTTACTCATTCTACTTACTGTAACAGTTCAAGAAAGCAGGGAAAGAAGCGAGGGCTGGGATTTCTGTTTTTGCAGACGGATCTCTTCTGACAGCTGCAGCTGAGTAAAGTCTCCAGTGCAGAGCAAACACTGAAAACTCTGGGCCAGACCCAAGCAGGACAGCCAGGAGAGCCACAAAGAGGCTCCTGTGCTCACCACCCTGTGGCTTTCTACACGGAAGCAGTGTGTAAAAATGTGAAGGTAAAATCCAAGGTTTTCACATACGATAATTTAAACAGAGGATGTCTGCGGTTACATGTACCTATGAGAGGACTATGGGAAAATTCTTTTTTTTTTTTTTACTTTTTAAACTTTTTATCGGTACAAGGGATCAAACTCACGACCGCCTGCTTGCAAGGCAGGCGCTTATGCCACTGAGCTAAATCCCCAGCCCCGGGAAAATTCTTATCAAGTTATAAAACTTCAAACTCAGAATGATGTAGGCTGGTTATGCCCAGATTTACCCCTTAGTTACAGACCGATGGAAACACCGCTGGTAATGTGCCAGCACCCCTAGAGGAGCCACCTTCCCGAGCGCCGAAGCCTCCGCTTTCTCACTCTTCTATTTTCGGCTGTTCATTCCCCTTCCCACCTTCCGAGTGCTGTTAATTTTGCCTCATCTTTCCTGCTCTCAAACCAGTTTGTCCTGCAGTCTTCAGAATGACTCATCAAGCACTCGCCTGGCAGCACATTCGCCAAGTGAGTCACGAGATGCAGATGCCACCTGAAGCCTCCGCCTTCATCACCACTGAGACACCGAGAAGCCTGGTGAGCTAATGTCACCGGGCTGCACCGCTCCCCCTTCGCTTACTGTACACCACTCAAGCCCTTCCAGGCACCTGTCCGCGCACCTCCCTTCCATGGTCCAATCACCACCAGCCCTGGGCTCGGCTTCTTGCCTAATCCATTGGCTGCCTCTCTCACACCTTGCTGCTCCACCCCAGGGGCCACTTGAGAACAAACTCTGAACCTTCAGCTTTTCCAGAAAGGAGCCTGTGGGTTCCCTGGCCCTTTCCTGATGGACACTACTACACATACTTTTTAAATAAGCAACCAGAGTCAGCATCAGAGAGTCCCCTTAATTCCATTCTCAACCACCATATTCAACCAGTACACCTTCCCTTTCTACATAAAACTTCTTCTCCTTTGATGCCCTACTTAGACCACTGAAAGGGTTGTGTATGAGTGTGTGTGTGTGTATGTGTGTGTGTGTGTGTGTGCAATACTAGGTATTACACCCAGGGCCTTTGCTTGGAGATACATCCCTGACCTTTTTGACTTTTTTTTTAACACAGGTCTTGCTAACTTGCTAAGCTGACCAGCCTGGTCAACTGAGTTAATCCAATACTCACTACCTTCCCATGATCTGCAGCAGCTCCTCTCCTGAAGTCTCAACCTTCACAGCTCACTGTCTGGTTCCCTTACTGCAGAGTTCAGCTCACTGAGATTCTCCGGCCCTTCATTTCTCCCAATCTGCCAGCTGCCTCCTTGTCTTACCTCCGTCCCTAAACAACTCATATCCATTGTCCATCAATGAACCCATTTTCTTCTCAACACTGCAACTCCCTGGACCTCTACTCCTGAGCTTTGTCCCTAAACAACTCTCTCTTCTGTCCCCTAAAATAACTGCTTCCAATTTCACTACTTCCTCAAGCTCCCTACCCATTGTGCTTGCCCAGCAATCTGGTAGGTCACCAGAAACAAAGCCATCAGGCAACTACACCTCCACCTGCTGCTGCATCCTCCCCCGACAAACTTTGCAGCAGCATCACCTCTGTTCAGCTGTCTGTCACACAATCACAGGGACAAATTTCCCCCATGAAAAGGCAAACTCATCAATAAATGCTCACCCTTCTCCAGTGGGATCATCCCTCCGTCCTGATTATCCTAGCTTTTCCTCTCTGTTGCTTCTTTTCTTCAGCACAGAAACATGTCTCAGTTCTTTTCACTTTAAAAAGCCCGTTCTTGGCCAGGAATGGTAAGGCATCCCTGTAACCCCAGCATGTAGGAGACTGAGGCAGAAGGACTGAGGCAAATTTGACCCAGACTATGCAACAGAATGACTTTGCAAGACCTAGGGGCTGGGGATTTAGCTCAGCGGCGTAAGTGCCTGCCTTGCAAGCAGGCAGTCGTGAGTTCAATCCCTGGTACCGATAAAAACGAAAAAGACAAAAAAAAAAAGAATGACTTTGCAAGACCTTGTCTTTAAAAATGACAAAAACAACAGTGTGGGAAGGCTGGGAGTTGAGACTCATGCAAAGGCCCACGTTTAATCCCCAGTACCAAACAAAACAAAACAAACAAACAAAAAATCCAACACCTTCTCTAGCCTCTCACAATGCATAATCTAGATCTTCCTCCTTGCTGACAGTAAGAGGAGTCCACATTTACTGACAGATTGCTCTCACATCACCACTGATGTTTACTGCCAATTGCTCTCAGGATTCCAATGAAATAGCTCCTGCGGAGGCCATTAATGACTTCCTACTAGCTAAATACCCTGCAGCTCTGGCTACTATGCATGCGACGCCTCTTGAAGTTGTCTCTCCCTCTTGATCTCAGTGATAATACCCGTGTCACTTAGCCAGCAGAGCATGAGCTCCGAAGGCAGGGAGATTTGTCTCACCACTTCCATCTCATCAGGCCCATGACTCATCACCTTCCCCCATGCCTCCTCAGATAAACCCAATCTCAGGGAGAGGGACCGCAGCTCACGCAGTGACAGTGCAGAATGCTGGCTTTCACCCTTCTCACGTGTCTTCCACTGCTCGCCACCTCCAGTCCCTGCATCCTTCCCTCCCTGCATCCCCACTGCCAGTGGTTCACTTTTCATATGCATCACTGCAACACTCAGTAGGCTCCTCTCTGCCACGTCTAACCTTCCAACTTGAACTCTACACTTCCAGCCAGAGAGATCACCATATCCAAACCTTCAAGGCCCTCAGGGTCTGGTCCCTGACAAACCATCTGGTCTCGGTTTTCCTACCCCTTCTAGTATACCATTCTCTACAGTGAATTACTCACAGTTCTCCAGATCTCTTTCTGTGCCATCTTGCAAATCATACATTGCACTGTTTGTTTACCTCATTCACCAGGATGGTATCTGCTCACCTCTCAAGATTTCAACTCAAAAATCACCTGCTCCAAGACTAGAGACATTTCTGCAAGTTTCCATACCAAGCCCTAGAAGCCTTTATTGCTTCAGGTCCTACACTGCACAGTGTTTATACCTGTTTGTAAACCTTCTGGGCTACTGTATCACATGAGCCCCTTCAAGCCATGGATATGTCTTATCAATATATTCCCACAGTAATTTGCACATAGTTGGTACTCATAAACATTAGTTTAGTTAACTGACTCATTCTCAATTTTAAAATATCAAAATGATCAATATTCCACCAGGTCCAACATGAGTTCAATAGAAACTGGATTTTCCTACTCTCATGTTGAGCAGAGACAAAATTAATGCAGAGCTATTCTCAGAAGTTGGCATAAAAGCATGCTTCTAAAGCCACACAGAACTCTGAACTCTTCACCAAGTGAAAACAGTTGCATGCTGAAAGACTGTCCCCTGATTTACCACTTCTTTTACTGGTGGTGGTGCTGACAGTGGGTAGCTGTGTTGCTATCACACATCAAGAACTGTTCTCCCACCTCTGTTCTCTTTGGATTCTAGCTGACTCCTTTAAAAACCACAGCTGGAGAAAAGTCCATTATCTGCCAGCCTGGCCCATCTCTGCCTCATCTAGTCTTTGCTTGTTCACTTCAACTGAAGGGGTCTCCTGGTGGTAAGCAGCAGGCAAACAGATCTGCACATCTCCAAGGAATGGAAAATACATGGAATAGGAAAAAAGGGAAGACTTGGAAGGAAAGATCATTTTTACCTACTTAAGCATTTATCTGAGGCCCCCTTACGAGTAAAAGTTGGGGTGTCTTTAACACTTACTTCCTTGCTCATTAATAATTTGTTTCTAGACCCCACCCAGTGTTAAAGAATTACAATCCCAAAACATGAAATATGATCACATTTCTTCAAAAATGATTGCTAGTTCCAGTTGCTGATGCATCTCCCAGAAACCCAAATTGGTCTATCTATAAAGGCAAAGCTCAGAATAGAGTCAGTTCCAGTTTCTCTAATTCAGGGGTGGAGAATACGGTATGCATGCCACAGAGGACACACCAAGCCTTCTCTGTCAGCACATGAGCCAAGTCACCCTAGCAGCCAAGCATCTGGATAACAGTTGTTTTTGTTTGTTTGTTTTTTCTAAAACTAAAACCCCAGTATTCAGGTTTCAATTCAGTGATGGTACTTTGTGATAAATAAGTGGGCTTTGGGTTGCAGTTAGGGCACTTGGTTTCTAAAAGGTTCACCATCACTGCAGGCCTAATTCCTCACTGCACGGGCCTGGCCAGGCTGTCTGACTCCCCACTCCACCCACCCCAGAGTCCTCCCTGTAATAAGGAGACAACAGTACACATGCACCCTTATATCCTTTGGTATCTTCTAGAGTTTGGTACCAGGGTCCCTATACTCAAGTTCCTCCCATAAAACAACATAGTATTTGCACAATACCTACACACATCCTGCTAAATACTTGAGTTCACTTCTAGGTTACTTATATGACCTAGAACAATGCAAATGCTATATAACTAACTGTTATATCCTGTTTATAGAATAATGACAGTTAAGGTCAGTACACATTCAACATAGGTACACATTTTTTCTGAGTATTTTCCATCCATGATTAGTTAAATATACAAATGCAGAACTCACCAATATGGAAGGTCAGCTATATCTACACTTCATTTATAGAAGGTACTTAAAAAAATGCTCAAGATCTGAGCCCAGCATAATAATACCAACGTTGAATCCGTGTAAGATTTAAATGAGACAGCATATTTAAAGTGTTGGCATGAGATGGTCAACTGATAGGAAGTAGTGTTCTGTTCTAACACAACAGTCGAAGTGGTAAAATTGATTTTAAATTGTCTTGCGTGTTACAGAACTCTGGGTGGACTATCTTAACATGCCATCCCAGAAATGAAAGGTGTATCTTAATGAACTTATGCACACAGAAGGAGCTGTAAAATGTGAAGGAGATTTGCAAAGACATGAGTAGACAGAGGTGGGAGCCTTGGAAAACACTATGTCATGTAACTGATGAAAGAATGGATTCAGAGTGGGACCCTGGCTGCAAAAAGAAGATAAAAGACAAAATAACATTTCTAAGATTTTGGAACGAAGGGATTAAGGCATATGGTATTGGCTGGAAACAGAATGGCAAAAAGGATTTTCTAAAGCCACAAGCAGGAACATTGGTTGCAGCATCGCCAGGCGTCTAATGTTTTGGCTGAAAGATGTTTTGAGATCCAAACAAAGATGACCACCTAACTCCTCCAGATCCCAAAGGGAGAAGGAACTAGGGTGGCCTTTCAATCTGGGATGGGAAAGAGGACAGGAATTGACAGACTTTAGATTGTGTAAGGGTGAGGGCCACAGAAGGCCCAACCAACGAACCAGGTGTTGCATATCAAGAGTTGTGGGAAAAGCAAGGCATAGTCACAGCTGAAACTGTGGCAAATGAATATGGTTCAGCTAAGTGAAGTCATAAGTGAAGTCACGTAAGTCGTCACCTAAGCCCAATTTGTATAGACCACCAACATTGTGGGAGACAATTCTAGTGACTCCCCTTAAATGCAAAACAATTACTGCATCTCTGATTATTTGGAAACTTATTTCATTATACTGATATGTACAGAGCTGGCTATGGTATTTCCTTCTCTCTTCAATTGGCTCTAAGCTTTGCAAATAAGGCTAGCCAGGTGCTGGTATGTAATCTCTAAAGCCAACAGACAGTCCTGTTTCCTCTCATAGTGTTCTCCATGTACAAGATACGAGCACAGCAGAATGTTAGAGAATGTTATAGCTAATAGCTCTGGGAATGTCAGCTGGGTATGAGACTCAAGGTAAAGAGGCCATAACTCCCCAGAGCACAAGAGTTTACATATCAAAAGCTAAAGCAATAGCCTCCCAAAACAATTCAGTGGCTACCTTACTTAGATTATGTAAATTGATCCTTCTATGTATCTTTATCTCTGCAATTTACAGAGGTGTCTTTCTTTTACCTGGTCAGCCAGCTCAAGTTACTCACATAATTCTGGCCATCCTCACTGTCACTCATCCCTGAGCCACCCCTCTTCTTCACAAACATCAGTCACTGAGCATCTGTCTACCAGAGCATTCCTTGAAGACAGTTTGAAAATACAGCAAAGGCCAGTCCCCAGGTGACGTCAAAAAAAGAAAAATCGCAACCTCCTCCTATAAGACAGGGGTAGTAATGAATAAACACAGACCACTCAAGGGGAAACACAGGCTGCCTTGATCCATTTTGACAATTAATGGTCCACATAGTCCCACTGGGATTCTTTGAGATAACGGGAGAAAAGTTAAGAAAAAATGTTTGTCCACCATTTTGTGGGGAAATACAGGTAGAAATAACAACACAACAAATCTTTGGATGAAGAAATAATTCTTCACTCCACTGCTATGTTGTAAAAATTATTTAACATATCTGAATCTTTAATTTAGACACACTGCATTGTAATTTCCCTGTTTTCCACAGTGTTAATGGCCATCACCTCAGTGCCAAGTTGGTTTCCAAGCTACTTGCAGTCTTGACACACTAAATACAGGATTAGTATGCCCAACAGCAATGACACAGCATTAATGAAGCTACTGCTGAACAGAGTGGTGATTCTCAGATAAGTCTCTGTTTAATAATCCTTTTGGGGGAGGCCCCAACTCCCAGAGGAAGTAAAAATACCTACCAGGACACTCCTCCAGGGAACACAAGGAGGTCTCCGAGGACATTCCCAGGCAGCCAGGTCTGCTGGGGAAGGAAGTGAGACACACACGGCGACGCTCTCTGATACCATCCCCACACGTGGTGCTACACGGGTTCCATGGCTGCCACAGCCCCCAAGTTTCTGCAAGGACACAAATCACGCTTTTAATGCTAGCTCATTTGAGCACCAGTATTGTAACTGCACCTAAATGCATCAAAACTCAAATCTTGGGCCTTGAAAAGTCACGTAAAAGCATTCCCAGCGATGTAGAAAGCTGTACTGTTACTCCTAAAATTACAACAAAGGAAAGCTGTATAATTTATAAAATCTTAGCCTTCCAAGAGCCCAGTACAGAGATGAGGTTACAGGACAATCAATCAGCTTCTTACATAAAGAAAGGCAGGCTCCTCCAAGGAAAGAGGGGATAACATTTGCTTACCTGGGACAGGCTCCAGGACCCACCCACACAACCTGGCAAGAAGAGTCCTAGGAAGAATGTAATGATAAAAGCCTAGTGTGGACTGTAATGAGAACACAAAGGTCCTATGAGAGACATAACAAGGGGAGCCGTACCCACACGCAGGTTCTTCTCCAAGGAGCTCACCAAATGCTCACCAGATGGACTGAGGGCAGCTGTAAGGACAGACAAAGCTTCATGGTAGCAGTGTGAGGAGGGAAGACAGCAAAGACTCCAAACCTCACCCACATCCTTTTCTCCATCTTTTCCATTGAGCAACTTCATCCACTGGAAAATGCAGTAAACCCTGTCACCTAAAAAGCATCATTTGAGACAACTACTGCTAGGGAATGGAAAAAGAAAAACTCCTTTGCCTTTGGAGAAAAGCCTGAAATCTCCTGGCTCCAGACTATTTAAACATTTTCTATCACTGGCAAGGGACAGGTTTATCAAGAAGGTATCATCCCTGAAACTCAGAGATATAATATTTGCCCAAGACTGTGGTTAAACCAGGACAAGGGAGTATCCTCCCCTCACTCCAGGCTATCAGGTACCAAGTAGCCAATAACAACAGTCTAGTGCTGTGTGAGACAGAAAGCTAAAGGCAAAAGTCTTGACTGTGTAGGGGCAAGCCTAATGCTGAAGTGGAACAGAAGCATAGGAAAAAACCCTCTGGCAATTCCTTGCCCACTGTCAATACAAAGGAGCCGCAGAAAATTCTAAAATCTGTGATGAACAGAGAGTAGATATAGCAACAGGAAAAAAACCCAATACCCACACTTACAGACCTACCCAAAACAGAAGTACAGTCACCCACTTTTAGGGATACGTCAGGGCCCGCAGTCCCAAACAAGATACGAACAATTATGAGATACACAAAAATGCAAGGGAAAAAACATTCACGAGACAAAGTAATCAAGAGAACTAGACTTAGATATGACCCACATATTAGACCTATTAGAATATGAAACTAACTATGATTAATGTGTTGAAGACCTTAATTGAAAAGAAAATCAATATGAAGATAAACTGATTAAAACTGAAGAGTTAAATGGAAAATGTTAGAACTTAAAGACACAGTAACAGAAATAAAAATGCCTTCTGCAGACTCATAATAGATACAGCACATCTGATGAAAGGAACAGTAAATTTAAATATAGGTGTTGTCATAGCTTGGGCCTACATGTCCCCTCAAAGCCCCATGTGGTCAAAGATGGTTAGATCTAGTGTGTGTGATGCTGGGAATAAGTGTGTAAATGAGATCAAGGGTGTGTGATTACTAAACGAGTCCAGATTGGTTTGGCATCATTCTGGGTAGGACTATGGGCGCCCCACCCAGTGTGTGAGTGGATAAAATATTAGGGACAGAGCAGGGCTAGTGAAGTCACTTGTCACTTGATTGCTGTTTCCTTGCCCTGCTTTACCAAGGACGGTTTATCTTCTCTAACGACCCTCTGCCATGCCACCCTTCCTTGGAGCCAGCCAACGATGGACTAAAACCTCTACAAACTGTAAGCTAACTAAATTTTTCCTCCTTTAACTCTGGGTGCCAGGTACTTTGTCTTGGGCATGAGAAAAGCAACAAAGACAGGTAGAAATCACTCAGCCTGAAACACAGAGTGCTGAGCTGAGTATGCCTGCCCCAAAATACAAGGTAGAAATCTGATCCTCAATGCAACAGTGTTGGGAGACAGGATGCAAGGTGAAGTGTTGTAAGTTCCGAGAGCTTCACCCTCCTGACTGCCTAACGCTGAGGAGGAAAGTGCTTAAGGCTTACACGCTCTTGCCCTTCCATCTTCTCCTTGGACGAGGCAGCAAGAAGGTACTCGTGGGCTGCGGGACCCCAACCTTGGACTTCCTATTTTCTAGAACTGAGACTCTCTGTTCTTTATAAATTGCCCAATCTATAACAGAACAAAATGAACTAAGACAAAAGGGAGAGAGTGAATAAAACAGAACAGATGACAAACTGTGGCTCTAAATAGGCTCTATATGTAATTGAAATCCCAGGAGGAAAAGAGAGAAAATAGACAGAAAAAACATGTGAATAATGTCCAAAAGCTGTCAAAAATTAAAGGAAGACTAAGTCTTAGGTCTAAGACGCTCAAAAAATATCAAACAGGATAAATAGAAACTTATACAAAGGATAAAGCTGAAAATTATCACTGACTCTCATCTGAAATGTCACAAGACAATGAAGTAGCATTCCTAAAAAGCTAAAAGAAAAAAAATTGGTAAAAAATCTTTTAAAAATAAAGGCTTTTTCAGATAAAAACTTGAAGAGAATTATCAGCAAGCCTTCACTATAAGCCTAAGTATAAGAAATGTTAAAAAGAAATCCTTCGGCATAAGACTCCCTTCAAGGACAAAAATTTCTAATGCAGCCAAAGGTATACAAAGCCCTACAAAAATATAAGGAAAATGTGTAGAGAAGCTATAATCTGAGGGAGCCAAGTGGTGCAATCTTTGTGAGTCATGGAATATGAGTTCTTTAAAGCAATTAAAAGTCTCTGAGGATTTTCACATGTGTGGGAGCGTTATAGAGTATCCTGGACCCACATCAACTGAGGTGTGGTAATGATGTTCCATGCTCAGGTCCAACTGAACATAATATTGGTTCTGTGCCTCCCAGATCACACGGCTCCTCTTACGCAGAACAATGAGCTGGCTTTGTCCACAGGGCCTGCAGAGTTGCTCAGATGCTAAGCCACAGGACCTAAAAAGCTTTGGGAAACCCTCATAGGAAAGTTTCTGGGCTACAGCAGTGTGATCCAGATGTGAAAAATCTCCTGGAAATCCCACCACTGTGATCTAAGTTGAAAATTAAGTCAATGTATATTTTATCCTTCTCTTATGCTTATATTTAAGACAAGAGGAAGAATTAACAAGAGCTAAGAGTTCTCTTGTTATTCTTTCTGAACTGTTTTTATTGTACATTATAAATATACAATTTAATATACAATATATTGTATATTATAAATATATATACAATTTATTTAAATGCATAACCTTATTTGTCAAACTAAAAACAAAAATTTCCTTAGAGGACCCAGAAAAAAATCAGTTTTGATAAAAGCATGAATCTTAATGTCAAAAAAAGTCCCTTGAAAATAATTATTCATAGGATAACTAATAATAAAAATAAACATTTAAACTAAATATTTACGTCTCTATTTCTCTATTTCTAAATCAAATTAGTTAAAACAGGAAATCATTCAATAAGCAATGGTTAAATTTTTTTTTTGTCTTTTTGGGACAGGGTCTCGCTACGCAGTCAGGCTGACCTTGGGCTCACTTTGTAGCCCAGGCTGGTCTTGAATTTGCAAATAATTTTCCTGCCTCAGCCTCCCAAATGCTAGGATTCCAGGAGTGCGTCACCACTCCCAGTTTTTTTTTTTTTTTTAAAGCAACGGTTATATTAACTAGGCAGATTTTTTTAACTGCTTTAAACATCTGACCCATAAAGATCTCTTCTAATAACTCTGTGCAAAACAGTTGATAAAATGGGAACTCATGAGAGAGCTGTAGTTTCGTAGGTTAGAAATGAAAAGCAAGATGACAAAATTTAAAAAAAAAAAACCTTTCTTCATGAATGAAAGTCTATTTATTAGGTTCCGGGCAGATGTCCGTTCATGTGCACATACTGCATATCAAACCTGTCTGACCACAGAAAATGTCTTTCAAGCCATTATGAAGGACATTAACTTTGAATAAGCAAACTGTGTCTTATAAAGGACATTAACTGTTTTGTCTTAGTTTTTGGTCTTTTTGAGACAGAGTCTCACTATGCAATTCAGGCTGGCCTTGAGCTCACTTTGCAACCCAGGTTGGTCTCGAACTTAAAATGCTCCTCCTGCCTTAGCATTCTAAGTGCTGGGATTCTAGGCATGCCACCATACCCTCTATAAAGGACATTAACTCTGAAAGAGCAAAATCTGTCTGGAATGTGAAAAGGGAAATTTATCTGCCTCCAAGACTATCTGAAGGAATAAAGCCTATGAAATATTCACATCTGCAAGACATTTTGTTCAAGAGACCAAGGTAACCAACAAAATATGCTTATAAGAAAATTCCACACACATAAGTGAATAGCTACCAGGAGCAGCAGGAGCAAATGCACCTAGGATACACAGTGCAGATCTTATTTGCACAGAACAAGACTCACATCCATTGGACAAATTATACCTAAGCATGGGTCAGTGGACTCCTAAGTAGTTATAGGTCGTCCAGTAAGGGTGGACAGCACAAGATGAATCAGTGAGTTAACCTAAAAGCTTTTTATTGTTTAACACAAAAAAGTGTTAAACAATAACTGCATGAAAGTGACTGTATGAAAAGCAATTATAAAATAGTGATAAAGGCAAGTCTCAAGATAGTCTACCTGGTTTTGTTTATTTTACTGAGGGATCAAATCCAGGTTACCACACAGGGCAGGCAAGTGCTCTACCACCAAGCCACACCCCCAGCCCACAGTCCGCACTCTGCTTTGGCTCTACCATTGAACCACTGTTGAGTTTAGGCAAATCACTTAGCCTCTCTTTGCCTCCATTTCCTCATTTATAAAACACACAACATAAGGAACCTAAATTATAGAATTGTAGGGACTAAAAAGGTTAGAAACAATTTAAATAGAAAATAAGTCAATTCATCAATTTAGCCATAAACCTATACACAAGTTCAGTATCCATTATTTGAAATATTAACACTAGAAATGTTTGAGATTTGGGAATATCTGCATACAAATACCTAATGAGATCTCTTAAGGATGGGACCCAAATGTAAACGTGAAATTCACTTATGCTTCATACACACCTTATACACACACGCTATAATTTCATGCAATACCTTTAGTGTACCTGTGTTGTGACTGCAACCTGTCTAATGAAGTCAAGTGTGTAATTTTCCATTGTGGCATCACGTTTGTGCTCAAAGTTATTAGATTCTGGAGCACTATGGATTTCACGTTTTTGAGTAGGAATGTTCAATGCATATTAAAAACAGAAGGTGGCACAGAGATTCCTAACACAGGTTGTTCTTAGCTGAACAATAAGAGCCAGGGTGGGTCTGCCACGCAGAGAATCTATGTTTAGTTCCTCAGGTTACTGCTTCAGGTCCTGCTGTTGGGATGTATGGAGCTGCTGCTGCACGGAGCAGCTCACAGGGAGACTCTGACTACTCTCTGCCTGGGCAGAGGACCACACCCTGTTCTACTCCTTTCCAGAATTTTCCACCTGCTACTGGTGTTTATTTGACACTGGCTGGAAAAACCTGTAGAAAGCCCAGTGGCTTGGAGTAACAGTAAAATGACACTTCTGCCCTAAATGTGTTTAATCAGTGATTCAAATGTCTTGATTTCTCTTGGTGTACTTCCATTAAATTCACATTTTTTCCATCTATATCTATATATATATATATATCTTCTTTTTAAAACACAAGACTATCTTAGATCATCAAATCAGTTCAATTTGTTTTTATAATACCTAGCTGAGGCCAACTATACCTAAGTTCAATTTTTACTTTTTAAAACACATATTGTGCACCTATTAACGTGGCATACAAACCAAGCAGGCTAAATAAAGACCATTAATAGGCTGAGCACTAACAGTTTAATGCCCACGTAAATGGAGTTTTGCCACCAAATATGCTTCCCCAATGTGGGAGGCGGGGTATGAAAGAGAAAGGTAACATTAACAAGAATTGGCAGAAGTGATAAATGCCATAAAAGAGGAAGTGAAGGACACTGTAAGAAGTTAGGACGGGGAAGTGAGCCAGTCTGGGGTAGAGGAAGAGTAATTAGCCAGGGAATGATGGTGACAGGCAAGAGGAGACAGCTTGGCCACTGAGGGCCTCGTGGAGTTCCATCCTCAGACCCAGTAAGGTGACTGAAAGGTTTTAAGTAGAGGAACAGCCTCAGTGAGGCTGAATCTTAGGTAATCTCTCTGGCTGCAATAAAAGAATTAAATGGATGGTTGAGAATCAATCAGAATTCTTCCTTAAGTCCAGCTAAGGGATGACGGAGGCTTACTCCAAGTGTGGTATTGGGCAACTGGGAAGCGGTAGAGGGAATCAAGACACCCTCAAGATGAAAGCCAAAAACAGCCAAAAACAAACAAAGAACCCAGAGGACTCAGCGAGCTATTAAATAGGGAGGACGCAAGAACACTCAGATTTCTGCTTTGAACATCGAGGCAGGTGCTGGAGATCCACAGCGAGGAGCAGCTTCAGTTAGGTGTTAAGGTGATGGGTCCAATTCCACATGCGCTGCCTTTGAGATGCACTGAGGGGTGCCAGCTATTCAGCATGGCAAGGGCAGGGGAGAGATGCCCAACTGGACTCAGCAGCATCAAGACTGAAATTTCCTAGGAAGCATGTGAAGAGAGATGACCAGACATTAAGGGGTGAGACAAGGTGATGGAACCAGCCATAAAAGACATCATGAAGGAGCAGCCAGGGAGGTGGGGAGGTGGGGTGAGCAAGACAGCTGTGTATCACAAAAGCAAGGTCAGTGAAAAGAAATCCCAGATTTGAGGAGCAGAAATGCATTTGCTGACTGATTTAGTGAGTTTTGCAGAAAGGAGTCAGTTTGCAGTAGGCTGAAAAATGACTGTGAGATAGAAATGAACTCCAAAGCATAATCAAATGTTTTCAAGAAACTGGGCTACAAAAGGAAGAGAATACAATGTCTGGCACAAAATAGGAGGTTGAATGAGAGGTAGGTTTTGCTTTGTTTTTAGATAAGGAAATTAAGTGCATTTCAAAGTAGAAGGAAACAGCCTTACAAGACGGATCTGTTAAAGACAAGAGCTGAGAGGGATGTAACAATTAATAGAAGGTTCCGGAAATGAGCAGAGGAGTTGAACACAGTGGAAGGAAGGGCTGACTTGATACTGGAGTAATGATACTTCTTCCATGGTGATAGAAAAGAAAAGGGCGCGGGTGCATCTGACACCCACGGGCCCACAGACCTTTGGTGGGAGGGTGTGGAGTTCCCACTAATGACTTCCAGGTGCCCTACGTGCAGGAGGCAAAGTCAATTCTGAGAGTTAACCACAAATGCAGGGGCTGAGGATGAGAGGAAGAGGCATAAAGGAGTGACTGTGCAGAGCAAGAAGGAACAGGAGCTGGCCAAGGCAACCTGCTGGGCAGCACAGAGCACAGAGCACCTGTGGTGGCACCAGTCAGCCTGCGTGTGACCTTGTCATGCCCCTCAGAAGCTTGAGTGCAATGGGCAGCTGGCAGATGGCTGGATGAACACAGAACTAGGGTGAGACTTGATCTGTGCAAGGACAACAGGGCAAAGAAATTTAGGACATTGCTATAGGTGATACAGGGATGGGCCATGGAATCTAGGAGGGTTACAGAGGTGAATATAAGTGTACAAGTGGCCGGTAGAAGGGGAATCTTTAAAAGGGAAGAAGTAGGGCAAGAAGCACCTGTGATTACAGAAAGTCAGAAGCTTGGGCCGTCACAACAGCCTGGGCTCAGTGAGATGATGGTAAGAACAACAGTTGAGTGAACTAGACAATGTCCGCCAAATTAAACCACTTGCCAAGACCATGCCCTGCATCCAGGGAAAGGGGAGGAAATGCAGAGCAGTCTGAGGCAGAAGGGGTGGTGGCACAGTGACAGAGCACTCGCCCGCCACGCACAAGGCTGTATTCAATCCTCAGCACTGTGCATCACACAAAGAACACAGAATAGGAAGACATCTTGCTTCCATTTCTCACCAAAGTGGCTTCCTGCCTACAATAAATGACTTCAGAGAACAAACATGCTCAGCCAGCAGAAAACAAGTCACGAAATACAATTTAAATTCCAATAATCTCTGCCATCAACTTACTGTAGGTGACAATATGACTTTTTAAAAAATATAATCTAAGAATAGCTCATATTTACTGGGTAATTCTATGTCAGCTCCATCACAGAGAGAAGTATTGATCTGATCTTGGAGGAATGACCCTTCTTCTACACTACAGGGAAAGACGGGTCTGAAGCTTATGAACATTACTTTTATTTAATTTAATCTCTACAATTCTCTGAGGTAGGTATTTTGATTTGACAGGAAATTGAAACCTCAACTATTAGGAGGGTCTATGTGTAAGTGAAGTGCTCCTTTCTCTTTACCTGCCACAGGCTCTGCATCCATAAATTCAACTACCCATGGATGAAAAGCGTTCAGAGCAAAAAGCCTGTCTGTACTGAACTTATTCCTGTCATTGTTCCCTAAACAATGTGGTATAACAACCCCTTACACAGCACTTATATTAGGGTAGTTACTGTAAGTAACCTAAAGATAAGTTAAAGCAGCCAAAGGATGTGCATAAATTAGACACAATGCCGCACCACTCTGCAGTCCATATTTGAGATTCATTTCCCCGTGGATACTGAAAAATGACTGAACTCTATGTTTTTCAGATAATGATGGTAATGCCAACTGATGAAAAGTGAGCCATTAAAATGAAAGTGCAATGCAACTAAGGTTCACTTGAATTCTGCCTAACGAGTATTCATGAGGACCCTAGCCCTATTTTTAAATGTTTAAAATCTCAATACGAACCTATATTTCTCTGGATTAGCATGCACTCCTTTTCCTTTGCAGAAAAATGGCTTCTCCTCGAAATGCCAAAGTTAAAGCAGTATTTATTCTTTCCCATATCAAACAAAGTGCAGTTAAATACTGTTCTTCTCTCTCCCAGGGGCAAGCTGTTTTCGGCCAGCTTAATTGTTCCTTCCCCAGGGAGCCTGGGGGCCTCCTTGAAGACAGTAACTACTCCTTGGACAAAGGTACATGGTGGCGGCAGGACCATCACCTCCACCCCAGACTCACATGTCAGCTCTGGCACCATCACCAATTTGTATCCAAATTTCTGGGCCAGGTCAATGGGTCCCGTAGAGGTAATGACTGAGTTCTGGCCAAGCAGCTTCAGCACCACGGTGACATAGGCTTCTGGCCCCACAGGTGCACAGCCAAACTCAACCCACTGACTTTGAGTGAGCTCTGTCCTTTTGCTGGTTCTTATCTCCAGTGGCTGTCCTGGGCTTGTTCTCATCTCTGGGAGACTGTTAGTGACAATGACGTCCACCAACATGTCAGGCTTGTCCACAGGAAATGGACACAGAGGTTGACTGGTAAAAAGGCCTACCTGGAAGGTGCCTTCTGCTGCCTGAGATGTCCTATTCAAGTCGACGTGAAAGACGGGCCATTCCACCTTAAGAAAGACACTTGTCTCCAACCAAGGGTCTAAAGTAAAGTTGTCTGACACCTCTGGAGTCATGATGAACCAGTAGTCACCAGCCTCCTTGAAGTAGAAGCACTCAAACTCGAGTGTTCCCTGAGACTCGTTGGTTAAAAGGTGCTTGGTGGTAACAGTCTGATTGGTGTTGGCCTCCAACAGCAGGACAGATACATTCCTCAGTGTCCCATTGGTGCCCTCCAAATACTGGAAATCCACCGACACCGTGCTGTTGCTTAGTGCTACATGGCCAGGCTCTCCCAGAAGAAGATATTCAGCTTCTCCAAAGACTGAAACGGGCAGAATGAGTGTTTAGAGAACGCACTGGAAACACACCATTGGCAACACTGACAAAAATAGTATTCCAGACACTAGAAAAGTCAGAACAGAGCTAAGGGTGATGTAAAATATAAAATTGCATACGCTTCTGGGAGCGGGGCACTGAGCCTGTCCCGTGCTAAATGGCTCTGTTCTGTCACTGCCTTTCATGAAGTTTAAAATAACGAATTAGTTATTCACAACATTCAACATACACATGCAATGAAAATCTGTGAAGCTGCAATAACAGTTGACAATTTTCAGGTCAAAAATCCCAAACCTCATATTTCTCATTTTAATCATATTCTTGTGTTTAGGTATTCGGGGGAAACGGGTGTACAACAAAACCAGAGAAAGTCTGGTTTGAATGACACAATAAAAATTGCTCTAGACTTTAAAACCTAAGAACTTAACTTTTTTTTTTTGTCTTTTTCTTTTTTTATCAGTATTGGGGATCGAACTCATGACTGCCTGCTTACAAGGCAAGTGCTTATGCAGCTGAGCTAAATCCCCAGCCCCTAAGAACCTAACTTTACTTCAAAGTCACTGTCTAACATTCAAGACAAGAACTCGGGAACTGTTATCAGTAAGGGATCTAGTGTTTTCTATTTATATGAGGTAGAAATTCCTTGGCAATTTTAATGACATTACAGCAACTGGTGATGGCCTACACAGGACACATGACTACCGGTCTCCTGAGTGTCATACAGTTAGGATCCATCATACTTTTTAAAAAGAGACCCAGGAGAAGTAAACTGTATAAAGAACACACATACACAAGAATCCTTCTGTCTATTTTGAACCCTTTCCAAACATGCACCAAAAGAGGCAGGATTTGCCAGTGAGATAATCAGCTGGTCCACAGCAGGGTACGAAATGATTCTGGACTTAGGGGACTGCAATACCCTATGGTTTAAAAATAACTTGAATAACTAGGAATTTATTATTTTATTGTAGATACCTCACCCATGTATAATGTCACATATTAATCTGGCTTGTAGTCCAAAAACCCTTATAAACTAGGGATACAGCTCAGTGTCACAGCACCTGCAAGCATGACATCTTGAGTTTGATTTCCAGTATCAAAAAGAAAAAAAAAACCCACAAAATATCCTTATATGTACTCAACTGATGATTATTAGAAACAACATATGATTATATCAACACATAGAAATGTTTCCCTTAATTAACTCTGCCTATTTTTTGAGATAAGGCCAACTAAAATATATATAACTTGGATAGACTTGAATACTTGAACACTACTTACATAAAATTTGTAATAGGGTGGAGTCATTTTGTTTTTTCTCAATTAGGCAAAACAGAAATTGAGGGACGGATAGGCTCTTGGGTCTAGAAGGTGGCCAATTCCTGCACAGCTTATCTGCTGGTTCAGCCTCTCTTACACTGTCTGTGAATCAGTGGCCAAAGAGACTCCAACACTTACTGCAGCCCAAGAAAGGAGTGCAGACTTGGAGCGAAGCCATGTTAATTTGAATCTGAAGGGTGCAGGATGGTTTAGAATGACTTTAAGATTAAGAGGCACATGCCACTTAGTTCATCAATGAGGAGCTGCTGTGAAGGACACAGATGAGGCTGATCAGATTCTAGCTTTACAGAAGCCATCAAGGCAAGAGAGACACATGAGCAGTTGGAAATGGAGCACAAAGTCACGAGTGATGGCTCAGCACCAGCAAACAGGAGGCGACACTGACGGCAGCGCCAGCCAGCGTATCCAGAGCTCCAGGACCTACACACAAACAGGCATTTTCGTCTGGTTCCGCCACACCCTCACGTCTCCATTCCTGAGTATCCCCTCTCCATTTCTTTATTTACTTAAAGTAAACCGTTTGTTTTAAGCATGTTGATTTAAAAAACTGTTAATGATGTATTTTTTCCATATCAAAGGAGATAAAGGGGAAAAACAGATCTATGAAAATACCTTCTTTTCCATTACCTGGCCTGTGCACTCAGCTTTTATGCTCTATTTTATGCTCATTCAACTTCTGTTTCCATATTCGAGTAAAGCATTGTGCACTTAACAATAAACATCGTTGTATGCTTTTGGCATTTTATCATTATGAATTAACTTCATCAGGAAGCAGTTAAATGCAGAGCAATCTGTGTTTAAGTAGTAATAAACTACTTTAAAAGAAATGAATCCCATATTGGTTTTTCTTAGAGTAAGTGTCTTCTCACCTATATAAACTTCTTTTAAAAAAAGAGGTATGAGAAAGGAGATTTTTCTGGATGAAAAGAACCACGCATGTTCTGTTCCATTTCACTAGCTTGGCCACCGACTGAATTCTCTGACTCCTGGATCATAGCGGCAATAATGTCATATTGTTGACTCTATTAGTTCAGTAGTTGCACAAAACTCTGAGAAATAAATTGAGTTTCCAATTGAAAGAAATTGAAGAGAACTAACCTCAACCACGTACCATATGCTCAGGTATTCAAAGTATTCTACATTCTTCATTTTATTTTACTGCGACAACCCTGTGACTTTGATGCTACTACTAAGGCGGAAAGAGACCAAGAAACTTGTCTAAGTACATAACTGAGAAGGATGGAAGTTCAGACTAGCTCCAAAGATACTCTCTCATCAAGTGAAATATTATAGAACACATAAAAAACATCAGTGTTGTGTTTACGTACAGGCGAATGACTTATAATGAAACACTGGGAAATCAATTGAAGACAATTCAGGGTAACATGCTATTCTCTAATTAGTTAAAATGACAGCTTTTTTCAAGAACTAAAAACATACTAAAGTAAAATTGATCAATTATGCAGAACCTATGAATCACTTTCAGAGAACTCAGAGTTGCAAGGTCACAGTTTGAAAGGCAAAAATGACCCGGTACTGCATCCTCTACAAAAGTTCATCAGAACGAATCATTCTTAATCCCCACATTTATGCTTCTTTATCAATACCTAGAGGATAAAGTATAGTCAGAATACTCACCATAGTCACAAAGCACCACCAGCAACAGATTTGAAAAGTCTTTCAACATTCGTTTCATTCTGATCAGCAAAATCCCAAGTCTTTAGTCTCCTCATGTCCTTTTTCACAGCGAAACTGTGATTTTTTTCCAAAAACACCTGAAATTAGAACTCATAAAATGATCATTCCATACAATAATTTTAAAATGACGAAGCTATTCCATGAAGTCACACTGCCTAGGTGATATCAAGAGGAAAGCAGGGAGGCACTTATTTTCCCAGGACAATGATATGATTTTACTGGTCCCTCTGATTCCATTCAAGTTGATACGTTATGAGTAGTCAGATATGCCCAAGATCAAAAGTATCTTTGCAAAACACCAAAACCTTTATAGGACGGACATCTTTAAATGAAGCGTTTGTTACTTGGTTAATTTTATCAAAGTCAACAGCAAATCTGAACAATACATTTTCACATTATTTATATGCTTGGAATTTCACACTGACCAATTTACTGAAGTTTTGCCAAACTCATTTAGTATTGTGCTGTGTACGTCCACCCACTCCACCCTGACCTGGTTTGCACAACTTGTGTATTATCTGGATTGCTTCATTTCTTGTCTCTCAGGACTATTATCAAAATAATCAAATTGTTGGAAAAAGATGCCCAGTATACAACTAAATGTGAATGACACATGGCCCTAACACCTCTTGTGTAGTGCACCCTAAAAAGAAAACAGATAAATGACAACTATCATCTCCTGTCAGGCTTCCAATACATCGTATTGCTAGTATGATTCATGCAGCAATCTTCCCAGACTACCTAGGAAGGCAAGAAAGATCTTACTGAACCAGAATGATTTGTGGGCAAAGGCACTTATTTTGATACAAATGCTAGACTATTCAACTATAAAATAAGATGCGAGCCAGTTAAGACCAGTTTTTTCATACCAGAATCTAGCAAACTATGTTCTGTTGAGCATAACCAAGTATGTATTTTCTTAATGTCCATCACTCCTCTATTATTTATGACTTTCTTGGTGGGGGGGTGCCAAGAATTGAACTCAGGACCTTGCGCTTGCCAGGCAGGTGCTTATGCCACTGAGATACATCCTCATCTCCCCTCTATTATTTATAGATAAATATTTTTAAGGTGCTGGGGACGAACCTAGCATCTCATACACACTAGACAAGTACCATACCACTAAGCTGCAAGCTCAGTTCCATAGTAAATATTAATTTTAATAAGCAAGTATATTATATTCCAAATATGGTATATCCTTGAATTAAGAACAGAAATTAATTGCATTAAGAAGACTGACAGACTGTAAAACTCAATGAGAAGGGAACTAGTGTGTCTCTCCTGGCTTTCTTTCAGCAAGTGTTGGTTTACAAAGGGAATACTGTACTTCCTGAAATAGAAGCAGAGATGCGAAATGTAATCTGCAGAAAAATAGGTCTCTCTTCCCTTCTTAGCACACATAAAGTTCTGATTTGGTGAAATTAGACACAGATTTGATCGAGGCCCTTCTCTGAATCAAAACATAATGGGGTGATGTGGGGAGTAAAGACAATGCCCCTTTACCCAAGCAGATAGACAGATAGATAGATCAATCGATTGATCAACAGCACAGCGCCTGCTTAGCAAGTGGGAGGTACTGAGTTTGATTTCTGATACCAAAAAAAGTCTCCTTTAAGTCACTGATACACAATAACCAAACGGGAGAGAAGCAAACTCCTCAAGGTTGAGCCAATGCTTCCCCATGATACTCTATGAGAGGGGAGTATTAACTGATTTTGAGATTACATTGCATCTTCTTTCTTATGAAAATAACCAGTAAGCCACAGACTTACGTGATGATGGAATTATAAAACAAATGGAATTACAAAATAAGCCAGGCTTCCCGGAAATCATAATAGGAATCATGATCATAATATGCCTCTTTAATATTTTTGGCTATCTTGCTCGCTTATTTTCTTTCAGCATGTTGGTACATATTCCATTACCTGGCTACTTACAAATGTTTGGCTTGAGAATCATTTCAGAAAATAAGACCTCAGATACGCAATTTAAACACATTTAAAAATATTTATATAGGGGCTGGGGCTCAGTGGGAGGCCAAGCGTTCCATTCCCAGCAAAAACAAATAACCCAGCTTGTACAGAACAAGGGTCTATATGCCCCGGCTGAGAGGGTGGGGAGAGGTTAATGTGCTCAATGACTTTAAATCCCAACTTTAAATCCCACATGAAACCGGCTCTATTATTCTTTGCAGCTGCCGGAGAAGAAACTGAATTACTCGAATGTCCATGGGACCAACAACTTGCCAAAGAACAAAAAGGAAAGCAGAAGCAATGTAATTTTGTCTCTCTGACAAATATGCACATGCTCTGGGTATATCTAAGAATAATATTTAGTAGGAGGAAATCCCAATTCCAAAGCCATTCGCCTAAACAGGCTTTATTGATACCATGAACCAGGGCTGCAAGTGCTTCCTCGGGAAGCTGAGCACTCGCCCGCCCGTCGAAGCTACTCCGCTTTCCAGAGGCTCAGGTCAAACTTACGCTAGGAAATCTGGGTTCACAGTGACCAAGGAAAGTCCCTCCAGAAGACTCTCTTGAAATGCTTGTATTTCAGCTGAGGACTTAGCTCAGCAGCACAAGCGCCTGAATAGCCGGCAAAGAGGTCATGCGTTTGATCCCTGGTTCCAACACTTAAAAAAAAAAATAATTAAAAAGATTTTTTAAATGCTTATATTTCAAGTTGACTGTATCCCAGAAAGGGTCCTTTTTTTTTTTTTTTTTTTAAAGAAACGTGTCCTGTGATGCTCAGTATCCCCAGCTGCGATTTTCCAAGACCCCAACAACTCGGCCGGACGCCCCCTGCAGCCAGTCTCAGGAGCGCGGCCGGAGAGCGGAGCCCACGACGACTGCGGGGGCGCCCCCAGGGCACAGGTGCCGCGCGGCGGGGGCGCACTGCGGGGAGGCCGCCAGGTCCCGGCCTTTCCGACCCCGGCGGCAGCGTCCCTGGCCCCGGGCCCTGCTTACCTCTCGGACGGGCGGCCCGGCTCGGGAGGCGGAGAGGCGGCGAGATGCGCGGAGGCCTCCGGGGCCGCGAGGCAGCGCGCGGAGCGTCCCGCGTCCGACCCCGCCCCGACAACCGGGGGCGGCACCCGCAGCGCCCGGGTCATGCGGAGCCCGGCCGGGGCTGCCCCCGCCCCTTTTGGGCAGCGCATCCTTTCCTGCCCGCCCCCGGCTCGCCAGCTGCAGGACGGGAAACGGGCAGGAAGCGCGCGCGCCCGATCGGGAAGGTCGGGCAGACTGGGGTGCGGCCACCGCGGGCTCAGGTCCCCCACCACGCACCCGCGCACCCCTCAGCCCACAGCCCAGACCCCGGATTCTAAGGGCAGTTTCCCTCCCGACACTTCAAAGTCAGTCACTTCTGCCCCAGGCTCATCATCTTCTGAGACAAGAAAAATCATTGGAGTGGCATGATGTATAGGCTGTAAATGTGATTTCCCAAATGTCCTTGAAGGGTGAAAGAGAACACAGTTCAGGTAAACTGCATCCTTCGGCTTTTTCCGCCTGGTGCCGGATTTGGTGAATTAGAAATAGCTACACATGTCAAAAGAAAACTATGCAAATGTTATAGTTGTCCTTTTAAAAAGGAGGGCACAGACTTTTAAATAAGCTAAGGTACAATGCAATTTACCATTTGCTTTCTTTTACACCAAAACTTAACCACTTAACACACTGTATGGTGATTGAGATCAGAGCTCAGCTCTGGGACAAGCCAGTGATTGAAAAGATGTAACCGGAACTTTGGGGAGGTGACACGTTCTAGTGGTTAGAAGATGAATTACATGAATTTGTTAGTTGTACTGTGAACGTCTCCACTTGGTTAGTAAATTTCACTGCAATTTTGTTAATGCTTAAAAATACATTTGCAGATCCTTGAACCGATCACTTTTTAAAAAGATAGCAGTCTTTGTATCATAGATAACAAATGTTCTAAATTCTTACCTTTTCAAACAGCTAACGCTAATAGTACTATAAAGTCCGTTTCAAAGCAAGCTTTAAGATCATCCAATCTCACTGCCAGTATAATTATCTACTCTAATATCCATATATCAAGTTAGGATTCTTTATCAAATATATGCCATAGAGTGGCTAGTACTTCCTAGTTTTGACAGCAAAAGCTCAGGGGAAAGGGCTTTAGAAGGTAGACAAAGCTGGATTAAATTCCAGCCCTACCAAAAACCCTAACTTCCTTCTCTAAACCAGAAAAGGCATGTAATAAGTTCTGTATTAAGTGAAATGTATAGAAAGCAATTTACTATATATGTTAATATTTGAAAGATACATTCTTCCCACAAAGCTACTGGGGGGTGGCTACAAGTGGTTCGATTGATATGCTTCATTTTTTAAGGAACAGTTTTATTGAGATGCTTGTAATTTTTGTCTGAATTAAAATTATTGCTGAAATGTATTACAGTATTAAACAGTTAAGGTACAGTTTAATACTCTGAAATTAACATAAAATGAGGGGAAAATGCTTTCACAAGAATGGTATGGCCTTGTCAGTACTGAACTAAAATGGCTCTCAAGATAACTCTGGATCAGTAACTGGCCCAGTGATCTGTACAAGTTATGCAAAACTGTACATTCAACAACCCCTTGTTTACACATAGAGTTCTTTTGTTTCCCAAGGTAATACTCTGAGATGAAAATCATAACTGACTCATGATTTCCTATCAGCACCCAAAGAAGCACATGAATGCCCCCATTTTTACACTATGATAGCAGCTTGTAAAAGCATGATCTTGCAGGTGTGTAACCTGACTTTTTGGGAGAGTTGCCCACATACAGACAGGTATGGCCCATGTCTTGGAATTTGCATGAGACAGCACAGATCCCAGAGAAGCAGCTTCTTAGGACAACAGTAAAGGAACTGTTAGTCAACTCAAGACAGCACTATAATCCAGGTCACTCAAATCAGTTAGTACTCAACTAGGAACCTACCATATTTGACCACTGACCTAGGACAGTGAGGATTCAGAGGTGGTGTATGTTTTTGAACTTCAAAGAAATTCAATTTGTTTTCTTATGGTATCAAGACAATTAAGAATAAGACAAAATATATCAAGTGTATGAACAGACAGTAACTCTTACAGACTTCAGCAACAGGAGAGCTGTGCAGGAGAGATTTTTCTGGAGGTGGCAGGACTGACCTGGCTTACTGTGCATGAGGGGAAGGGGTAACAAAAGGAAGTCTGAACAGACAGGGGACGTGTCCAGAACAGGAAGAGGCACACCTCACGCTGTTCCTGACCCATGCCTTCCATGTAGGGGCACTCTCCTGATCTTTAGGAGACTACTTTACCGGGCCCTTCCTCTCCCAAAAAGCCTCGAGAGGCCCCCAGCACAGCTGAAGGCTCCTCCGCGCTCCAGAGCATGGTGCCTGTGCCTGCCGGGGCAGCCACGCCAATCCCCCTCTATGAAGGTTGCTTCACATCTGTCTCCCCAGGGATGCCACCTTCTGAGGGGCAGACTGTCTTACTCACCTTTGTATCTTCCCCACAGAGTGAGAACTGAAGTAGGATAAAGAGGCGCCGCGGTATAAACAGGTATACACATCCTCGTTCATTCACTACATCTTTATTCAATGTTTTCTGTGCTGGCCCTGCTCTAGGTTCTGGGGACATATACATAAACAAAGAAAAGAACTCTGCCCGAGTGGAGCTTACACTCTAGATTGGGACAGGATCGGTAATACAGTTACACAAACCCAACCATACCTATTGGCAAAAAGACACACACGTTTACACAGTATAATTATTAATACTAGAAAAGTCTAATGGTGGTCTGCAGTTTTAATATACATTGACTTACTATCTGTATGATATACTCAAACCTACATATCACTCCACAGGAAATGAGACTTGGAACTCCATTGGCAACTGAAGAGATTTTAAAGGCTCGCTTTGAGCGTGCTTAATTTTGTCCTTCAGCAGTCTTTAAAACCTAATCTCAGAGGCCAGGGATTTAGTTCAGTGACACAGCACCTGCCTGGCAAGCATGAGGTCCTGAGTTCAATTCCCTGTACCACAAAAACAAAAACCTAACCACGTTACAAGTTGTGGACTCCACTGTTCCAAAATAAAGTCTTTGTGATTGCTGGGCAAAAGAGAACCTTTTTAAGGATCTGAGTATGGGAACAACAATATATGAGTTCACGTCTGGTCCACCTCTGCTGGTGAGAACACGACACAGCGCATCTGCAGTCAGTCTACAGTGGAATTCACAGGAAGAGTTTGAGGAAAAAGCAAAGAAATAATTCATGCCTCTTTCCTATTTCTTAGAGATAACTAAAATAGTAAGACCTCAAAGTCATAAATATTTATAAGCAATGCTTAATTATAAAATTTAAAAGAAAAATTCTTAACATTTTGACAGTATGACTAATGCCTAACGTTTTCAAATATTTTTAGAGTATTTTTTAAAATACCAAGTTAACAAAATCATTTTAAAATTTTGAAATAATTTTACTTTATATACATTAATACCAATCAGTTAACCCTGAAAACAACTTTCACTTAATACAATGTAAAAAAATTATCCTTGATAGTGAATAGAAATATTCCATTACAATAAAGCTATAAAGAGATTCATGCTCTTAAGAGCACAGTTAGGAAATCAAAAATAATTATACAAGTGAGAAGCACCAAGCAGAACGTTTTTGTACTTAGAGCGCCTGACTGGTTGACTTCTACCAATAAAGGGCCAAAATAACACCTAATTTGGCAAAAAATAAAAATACAGGGGTCTAGAAACAGTGAAGAATGCCCACTTTAAAAATAAAATAATAAAAATCACTTGTTTTTAAATGATGTGACATTTGCAAAGTATATTCATGTCATTTTTCTTCCCTATAGTTCACTTTATAGAACTCAGATTACCCCATTTTGTTAGTCCGTTACCACACTAATGTAAATAAATATACTAAATTATGTAGGTTTTCCTAATGAATCCAAACCTTTAGAGCTAGACCCAGTAGCTCCAACAACTCTACTTGCAACTGTTTCAACTGGTGAAACAAGATCCTTTATCACTTTTAATGTTAAGCTTAGACAAATGAGATACCAGGTTTGTGTGCATTTGTGCATGTATGTGTGTGTACAAGTCTGTCAGAGTCATGTGACAGTGTGTGAAACCCAGAGAGGCAAGACATACACAGTGGTCCAGCTAACCCCTACAAGACTTGGGCAGCCAGACATCACTGAATTACCCCCCAAATAAACCTGAGGCTGAGCAATGAGGTAATTAAGAGACCTGTCACCACAATGAACAGTCAGTGACAGCTTTAGAAAATGAAGACTAAAGCACAATGCCTTGGCCCCAGCATTCCTGTGACACTGGCGGGCCATAGCACAAACAGCCACTGTTCGGGAAGGGACCAGGGTTGGGAGCCCTGGTTTGGTGGCTGAGGACCTTAGCACTTCCTCAGAGGGCATCTACAGTGGCCTCTGGCAGTGGCTTCCACCCCACCCAGTGCAAACCGTCTTGGAGACCCCAGAGTGTGCACTTGGGCATCCCCCCCCCCCCGTGTAGGTGCTACCCCTCCTGGAGGCTTGGTGAACACCCCACTTCCTTTCCACTCCCAAATCATGCTCAGTTTCCTTCTGTCCTGTGTGTCCCTGAGTATGAGCAAGACCAACACACTATACACTGGAGAGTGGAAAAATACAAAGTCAGGCAGTCTACTTTAACATTCAAGCAATCTGTAGGTGGCACTGGCCAGTTTATATTTTCTCGGTAAAATTTTTTAAAAATTTAACAAAAAAATTTTTTTTACCAAGACAGTTTCTCTACACAACTCACAATGTATATGGAAAAAGGAAAAAATATTGCTAGAATATGATAGAAAGATTTCTAAAGTTCAGTGTTAAGACTCTTCTATGAGAGAAGAGGAGAAAGGAGTTTATCGGTTTTTCTATTTTTCTATTTCTCATCCTTGGCTTCCAAGTAAAAGCACACTCAGGTTCCTGTGAGTTAAAGTAGTTAAAGGTTCCATCTGCTCTTCAACTTATACAACAATCCTAGGGAATTCCTAACTGTCTGGCTCCCAAATCTGTAATCATAACTCTGGGCAGGTCTATACGGCTCTTTAATTTACTTTCAAAATCCACAGCATTTTAAAAACATAATTATACAGTTTCATTCTGTAAATGCCAGCCATGAAATCATCACTAAAAAATAAATAAAAAGAAACTAGTTGAAGTGTATATACGTTAACTTTTTTCTTTTCTTTTCTTTTCTTTTGGCTGCCATGCTGGGGGTGGATGGAGCCCAGGGCTTTGTGAATGTTGTAGCACCTCTGAGCCATACCCCAGCCTGCTCCTGTTCTAAAGGTCTGTTATTTACTCTGTTGAAGACATGCTTAAGACCGCCTAGAAAACCCCTTAGTGAGCCTTGTACAGCATTCTGCAGTTTGATATTCTGTTCCAGTGCAGCTGGGTTCTTAAACTACCCTGTAACAACCACCTCCTTCATGTACCCTCTGCCTCAAATAGGCACATCAGACACAAAGAAAAACACTTAATCCCATGAACATCAAAACAATAATCTAAGCTGTCCAAACATGCAGCTGCTTCTCTTTTTCTTCCCCCAAGAACTTAAATTCTCTATAAAATGGTAAGACAATGGGATTCAAGTTAAAACCTGCTATGTTTTAAGTTAAGCTCTGAAGGTTCTGCACAGATATAGCATGATTTTAAATTCATACTGGCATTCATTTTTCTGTATTTTCTTTATATATCCTAAATAAGTTTCCAGGACCGTAATATTTAGGGAGTGATTTTAAAAGTTTTATATTATACTATGAAGTCCTACTGAATTCTCAGTTTAATCAGGATTTACCAATTAGCTTAGTGTCACACAACTGCTAAACGATGCAAGTGTATGAACATGAAGTATTTCAAATGCAAACCCTTTAGCTCTGTGTCATAAATAAATTTGGGTAAAACCGTAAGCCTTCCACAGAGTCATCTCGGCAAAGATGGCCCATCTTTTCTGCAAGCAGCAACCTAGGAATGAGAGAAGAAGACATAACCATCTGCCCATTCAGAAACACAAACACGAGGTGTAATGAAGCACAAGGTCCTTACATACCTTTCTTTGGCTAGGAGAACAGACATTCCCACAAGCTTAGCAAACTCTTCTGATGTTAGGGAACCCTTCTCTGAAACCTAATAGTAATACACAGCAGGAAAAACAATGTGACTAACTTAGATATGCAGGTACAAACCACAGGTGGATATATACCAATATATGCAGGAACCGATTTACTGAATTTTCTACTAAAATCAAAGGAATATTAACTTTGCTACAGAACTAAACCTTAACTAATGCTTAGTTCTACAAAAATTGGATAACTCCCAAATAAATACAAGAGGTTAAAAGAGCCACATGAACCCCTTTATAATGTAACAAAGCAATGTACTAAGGGCTATAAAAGATATTAAATGTTCTGAAAAGTAATTCAGTATGTATTACATGCTCCAGTAAAGAACCAAAATATGTATATAGATTTAATTTTCAATATGTGACAGAAATACCTATATTGTTTCACTTTCCTTTTAGCTTAAAATGAGGCATATAATAACTGCGAAGTATTCATCACACAGGCTCAGCAGAGAAGCTGGAACAGTAATATTTTAGGTATCCTAGTAAGTAGTAGCAGTTTGAGCAGTAAATTCCATCTAAACTACAATTACTTATTTGTCGAAGCATTTATCTCACAGAACAACTTCCTTCTAGTTTTATAATGCTGCTGATGTAGGTGTTAAAGAAGTCTGGTTCTGTGTAGCAGTCCGATTCACAAATTCATGTTCTACCATGGAGCTTTCAGGGAAAAGCAAGCACCTCACTACTCTCTCCTTACTTCTAAGATGTTAAGGGGTCCATACGCTTCCAAAAGTCTTTTAAGGTATGACTGTGACTAATACATACTCATTGTGAATAACTAGCCATTTCTAATTTAGTCTCTGAATGTTACTCTATAGGGAAGTTAAATCCAAAAGGAAATCCTGCTTTTTGAGTCTCTAAGCTCGGGTGTTGGTGGCGAGCTCAAAGGACCGAGGAAGCCAGGTTCACATACCGTCTCCAGGGCTGAGGCCACCATTTCCTCTTCCTTGTGGGACTGAAGCTCAATTACCATGACTCCACTGTCAAAAACCCGGAGCCTGAAAAACAGGGCAGTGAGAACAAAGTCATGAATCATTTAGCATATCCAGCACTAAGGAGAACCACAGGCTTCTAAACTTTCTTTTACGTCCAGGCCTGAGCACAATGGTAATCATAAACAACATTTAAAACAAAATGACCAAAAGTAAAGAACTAAAGGGCTCATGAATTAACAGACAGTGTAGCAAAATTATAAGTTAAAACCCAGATCATTAAGATATACATAATTTTTAACCTGAGAAGGAAAATACAATCTAAACACCTACATTTCTGAATTTCCAGAGACCAACACCAATTATTGGGAAAGTTATTTTGACCTGGGATTCTTACCTTCTCTCCACATATCACATGATCTATAAGACCCATTAAAACACAGCTTGATATGATGGAAGCCAGCATGACAGAAGGCTTATGGTACCAGCTAAACTCTAGCCATATATAGCATAATTTGGGGGGGGGGGGAACCAGGGATCAAACTCACGACCTTGCACTTGTCAGGCAGGCACTTACGCTGCTGAGCTAAATCCCCGGCTCCGTATATAATGTCATCTTAAGAGGACAGTATTTTGGCTTTGCCATGTAGGGTGGTAAACTTGGCAGAACTTTCTAGTCTACCCAGTGCAGAATCAGGATTACAGATGACAAACTACCTGTGGAGATTCCTTACCTGAGAGGTAATTTCAGCACTTCAAGCATCTTACACGCATTCACTAAATCTTCTGGTGAGAGCAACTAATGGAGAAAAGAAATCCAGTTTACGCTGCAAATAATGTGAAGCTACACAACTGTAATGACCACGAAAGTGGAATAAGAAGTTTTTAAAATTATTACTTATTAAGGATTTTTAGGTGACTTAATCATTACAATGCAAGAAGGATTAACAGAGGAGCTAAAGATTTCAATTCTTTAAAGCAGTACTATTCACAGAAATGTAATATAGTATACATATGTAACTTCAGATTTTCCACCAGCCACATAAAAGGTTGAAGAGCTGGGGATGTAGCTCAGTGCTACAGCATTTGCCTAGTGTGGGCAAGATCCTAAATTCAATCTGCAGTACCACACCAAAAAAACATTTTTTGAGGGCTGGGGATTTAGTTCAGTGGCTCAAGCACTTGCCTGGTAAACATGAGGTCCCCATTACCAAAAAAAATTTTTTGGAGACACTGACATTTAACTTTATTTTGTACTAAGTTTTCTAAATCTGGTATGTTGCAAGTTCATCACTGTCCCGGATAACAAGTAGCTATCCCTTTGGGTAGTGGCGAGGGCAAGCACAGCTCTTACTTGCACAGGATAGCTCCAGAGCCTGCCAGGCCTAAGTCCAAGTCCCTGTTAAAGCACTGTTTCCAGGCATAGCCTTGGTCACGTTATGTAGCTGAAACCTCAACTTCCCGATCCACAAACTACCTCTGAGAGAGAGATAATGCAGCAGGTGCCTCACTGACCTGGGGGGTTGGGGGTGGATAAATGAGGTAATGTGAAGAAAGCCTGGTGAATAAGAACTTAGCGATGGCAGCTGTGATACTATTCAAACACACAGAACAGAGGCTGAACTTGTGAGGCTGGAAAGACACTGTGAGTCATTCACACGGACTGCATCTGACAGAGTTCCCAAGAGGACCCTGGAGGCCACAGCTACGAGTGTGCAGGGCACCACAGCCTCTGACGACACACACTAAAGCAAGGTGGCTTTTCCTCTGCACTATCCACACGGCAATCTGCGTCCAGCCAATTAATTAATTCAAGAGGAGCCGACTGTGGAAAACAGGCATCCTGCACAACTTCACTCACTACAACACCAAAGCAGAATATCAGAGCTGAAAGGTTTTGCTCAAACCATTACCTCAAAGGTAAGAAACCGAGTCCCCGAGATGTTAAATAAGCTGCCCAAAGTCAGCCAGCAAACCACTGACAAATGAAGAACATAAACCACCTGTTAGATCCCAAAGCAGTATTCTTTTCCTACACCGCTTCTCAAAATAGCTTTGACATTGACAACCCTTCCTCAAATTGTATTCACTCTGGGGGAATTTATATTACATTGAGAAAGTCTATATTTAGCTAAGACTGTCTAAATATGGTATTCTTACTTCCATTCCTCGAGCTCGGTTGACTAAACAGTACACCTCGGTGAGTGACATTATTCCCCCTCGCTCCTGTTTAAAATGTGGAAGACAAGTGAAATTAGCACCAGTAAGCATGACAGCAAAATCATAATCAAAGCAAAATCACAAATCAGAAAATCCCTCAAATTTTTAAAATTGCATTTATACAGTTTTTTGGTGTGCAAGGTGTGACTGAAAACTACACTGTGTTTAAATTGAATTTCTCGCAGTAATAGACAGATTGTCATCAATCTGCCTTGAAATACTCCTCTTTGAACACACTCTTTTCCCATTGTTCTTGCCACTTTCTGAGGCAGTTCTGGAAGCCTTTTTTTATGAGTACTTTTAGTTATCCTGTCACAGCTACTTTAATGTTCTGAATCAGTTAATACCATTTACCCCTCATGGTCATTTCGACTTTGAGGAAGAACCACAAGTCACACAGCACCGCATCCAATGAATAAGGCAGATGAGGACATACTCATAGTGTTTTTATTTACAGAAATTGCTATAAATGATAGACCAATGAGTGTTCAAAACAGTTTAAATTAAAAAATGTATTACAGTAAAAAACATAGGGCTGGGGATTTAGCTCAGCGGCATAAGCACCTGCCTTGCAAGCAGGCGGTCGTGAGTTCGATCCCCGGTACCGATAAAAACGAAAAAGACAAAAAAAAAAAAAAAAAAAAAAAACATAATGCCATCAATGCCCTCAAAATATTCCCCCTTTAAACAAACACGATGTGTCTTTTAGTATAAGTTTATAAAATTAAACATTCAATGTATTTTCAAATCACCGCTTATCTCTCAAAATTTCAGGATTTGAACTGATGTTATTATTAGTATTTCAGCATGTCTTAAATGAAAAGGGGCTCTACACCATGTTTTAAAAGTACATTTAAATATTTTAAGTTATTCCAACTAATAAATAAAGATTAACAATGCTGCCATTCTGCAACCACTAATGAACATATCTAGGTAGTAACAGTCAATAGCTGCTAACATTATGAATAAAGACAGTCAACATTATCTACCTTCTGATGGAAGTGCACAGCAACCTCATGAAATATTCTTATCAGAGAACTACAGATTATAGTGGTTGACAGGCAATACATAGAATAGGAAGCACACGGAAATATTACACAGTCAACACTATGAGACATAATAGGATAAGCTATTAAGTTTCTTCAAAATAAATTCTAGGAGTCAGGAGAAAGAAAGAGGAAGGGAAAATCCATGGAACAAAAAAAGCAATCCCAAACAAGACACAGATCAATCAACTTTAGTAATGTCAAAAAGACAAACTGTAAGACAAAACATTGACACTAGCTAGGTATTTGGTGGCACAACAGATTTAAATTTGGGAGATATGAAATGAAATTACATTTGTGTGCAAAAGAGTTTTTATCATTATAGTTACTGGAATAGATAAAATAAGTGACATCCGGGATTTACTTTAAAATGATTTTGAAGGACACTGGTTTATAGGCAAAGCTGGGTAACAGACATGGAGATTCATTGTGTTATTTATTCTGGCATATGTTTAAAATATTTCTTAATATGTGTTGTTTAATAAAGTTTTGGTCACCTGAATACTGTTAGACTAGATGAATATGTATTACAGATTATTAACACTATAGAATTATTAAACATTAACAAATATATAGGAATAGATCTATACAGACAGATCATATACTTCTTTTGAAAACAAAAACTTCCTATCAAATAAATTTAGAAAGTTGTAGATATCTGAAAGGCCAATAAAAAGCAATTTAGAGGATTACAAAAACTCATTAACAAGTAAAGTAAGCTAATTTTAATATTCCTGAAAGAAAAAAAAATGTCAATTGATAATAACAACATCACGAAAGGAGTTATGCTCTCAAGACTTCTGATGATAGGGACGTAATTAACAGTTTTTGAAGTACCCTTAGGATTGATTTTACCTCTAAAGGCGCCTGTAATATTCCAGCCAGCTGTTTGGCCAGCTGCATGTGGTACTGTGTGCCTGAGCCGTAGGTTTCCCTGGTAACTGGGTTAGCTATTCCCATGCTCAGCAAGTAGGATTTAAACCTGATGGTCTATAATGAGAGGAAAAATGCATAGAAAGACTGCAGGATTAGTCTCCCCATCACAACATTTGAAATCTTTTATCATAAATGCAATTCTGCTCAATTATTTCTCTATATATCCATTTCTACTTTTTTTCCATGCTGTGGACTACAAGGCAATGGATGTGTTAAGTAGTTTACTGCAGAAATCTAATTATTCTCCTTCCTGCTTCTCTCGTGGTCTCTCATACTCTGTTCACTTCACACACTTGGGTGAGAGAACATTTAGATACCGACTATTTTATATTTAATACCAACCAAATGATACAACCGAAAAAAAGAAATATGGATGTGTCCATAATGTACACAAATTTCATGAAGAGACATCAAGTTTAGGATGTGTATAAAAGACACTACAGCCAAGCAAACACCTATAATCCCGGCACTCTGGGAGAAAGAGGCAGGAAGATTGTAAATATGAGCCTAGCCCAGGATCTTACCAAGATCCTCTCTCAAAATAAAAAATAAAAGAAGGGGTTGAGGATGTAGCTTAGTGCAAAGATCCTAATTCTCAACACCTCAAGAAAAAACAAAAACCGATAAACCACAAGTGTCACTGTTACTGATGTTACTGTTGTACTCTGCTTTCTAGTGCTTTTTTAAACAGCATCTTAGGACTGTGGATGTACTCAGTGGTAGAATTTACCTCTAGAATTTAGAGGATTACAAAAACTCATTAACAAGTAAAGTAAGTAACCTAATTTTAATATTCCTGAAAGAAAAAAATGCCTGGGGCCAGGGATTTAGCTCAGTGGACTAAGCGCCTGCCTGGCAAGTGTGAGGTTGTAAGTTCGATCCCTGGTAAAAAAAAAAAAAAAGAGAGAGAGAATGCTTGCCTAGCATGCACAAGGTCCTAAATTCAATCCCAAACATCACCAAGAAAAAAAAAGGCATCTTTACCTCGTCTTCTGTGATATCACCTTGCTTTTCTTTAATTTTATTAGCAATTGATTTTGATAATTCCACCATTTCTTTAGCCTGTCAAAAGAAAAGACTAAAAAGAAATGATGTCCAAAATATCTTCTAAAAATGTGTATTTTCAAATTGAGTTATAAGTGGTTTGAATTTCAGAGGGAGAAAATGCTGTATACCTTGATCATTAGCTTGCTGAGGTCTTCGAAGGCCTGAAATGAGGAAAGGAGCTTTTGTTGGAATCTGTCTGAAGAATTAAAATACTTTAAAGCAATGAAGTACCTGCCATCTATTTTCTTCCCTATGATAAAAATTTCTGAAATTTTCTTACAAATACATTAATTAATAATATATATACCTTATTCTAAAATTGACGCTTTAGCTAAGAAAAACACATACTTTCTAAAACAAACTGCAACAAAGTCAAATTTTCAGAGATAATTATTGATCAAATATAAAAAACAACATACAGGTCACAAAGTATTATTCCCTTTATTTAACACAAGTAAGAAAATATGTCACTAGTTTTTCTAATAGAAGGTCAAGAATCTGAGGTTTGTGAATTTTTCCTGGCTGAAGATGGCAATATGCAGCTGCAAGAGTACTTTCTGGGGAACAATAATTTTTTCTGTAATAGCCGGTATGATTGAACTGAAACAGCAATCTGAGTAGTAAACTTTTTTTTATAGCTGTGGAAATGGTGGACATCAGACACAAAAAAAGCATTCATGTCAGATGTGGTGGTCCTCCCTGTAACTCAGGAGGCTGAGGCAGGAGGATCACCACAAGTCTGACACGAGCCTGTGCTACATAGCATAGTGAGTTCAAGGCCAGCCCAGACTACATAGCAAGACTGGCTCAAAAAGTAAAAAAGAAAAATCTTTTAAAAAGCAATCAAATACCACGAAATCTATCCAAATAAAACCCATCCATTGGGCCAGGGATATAGCTCAGAGGCACAACTGCATGCCTGGCAAGTACAAGGTCCCAAGTTCAATTCCTGGTACAAAAAAAGAAAACCCATCCATTGTTTTATTACTACAACAAATACTTGAAGGTCTCTTCTAATTTAATCAGACATGTTTTTACTATATTGTTTCAAGTTACTGAAAATACACTGCCAGTGTAGAATTTCTTGTCTAACTGATAGGCACAGATGTTAGTTTTTGAGTCAATTAAACAATAAAAACTAGTTCACATTGTGGTCTAACTTACACAGTGTAATCATGGCTCACATCCTTATGCCCATCTGCAGGAAAGTATTCTTCATCTGCTAAAGGATTTTGCTAAAAGAATAGACTGCTGTATAAGATTCTTATGGCCAGCTAAGGTTTACAAGGAAAACAAAGGGAAATGTGCACACACCTAACAGGAATTTCCTCAGATAAACACAAAGTTTAAATAATGGATTCTTATCAGCAACCACCAGCAGATGCAGGAAACTCTTTGTGGGAAGCCCTGGGCACCGGCTTTGAAACTAAGTCAAATCCAACCTTTACATGAGGGGCAAATCACACACAGAAATTTTACACAGTCTTTACTTTAACTACATAAAATATTAATAGATTTCTTTCATTTGGCTAAAACTAGTAAGACAGGATTTCATGTGGTAAATCGTATTTTCACAGAAAAATAGTCTTAAATCATAAGTCCACATAAAATCATCTCTTATTTAGCCTTTACTGATTAAATAGTGAATAAACAGAAGTATAAATATTGTAGTTACTTTGAAACTATATAAAAATCTTATTATAATTACCTAAGCACAAATAAAAGCTTCCTCACTTTTATTTCTATTATTCTAAAATTTGAAATTAACCAACTATCAAAAATTGGGTGAGAAAACTACCTTAAAAATTAAAGCCCCCAGCACTTAAAACGCTGAGGCAGGAGGATCCCCATGAGTTCGAGGCCAACCTGCACTACATAGTGAGACCCTATCTCAAAAAAAATTTTTTTTAAAATTAAAGCAACAGGGAAGATACACATACTAATTTTATTATTTTACCTGCCAGTTTACAGAAACCTGTACTGTTCTACCACACTCGTGATTACATTTCTAATCCCAAACTTGAGAAAGATGGTATCTGTGTTAAAACCACAGACACTTTCATAAGCTGACTCAAACAGAATTATTTTGTTACTGACGTTCAGTCATTACTGTGGTTCTTAGTTTCAATGACTATTAATGTATTCTTGAACTTCCACTTTCAATGGTCTCAATTCTGCACCTTTATATATTCCTGTCCCTCGATCTACACTTGCTTTATCCCTGCTGATGACTACTAACATCCGCTCATTTTTCAGGCCTTGAATTCTATGCATTTTTTTCACTGATTTATTTAGAAACCAGGTACAGGCCTAGAACTCACTATGTAGCCCAGGCTGGCCAGGCCTTGAATTCTGCTCCTGTTATTAACAAGTCTTCCCTGACTCTGATGGGAGTTGGGGGCTGTGTCATGTGTTCCTGCTGGAGCCTGGTTTTCTACTCACAAGGTGCCTTTCCCACTGTAGTCAGTGCTTGTTTGCCTGCCTGCACCTGAACCATGACCACAGGGTCCACGGTGTCGATGCCAGGTTCAGCAGAGTAGTCAGGGTCCATCTGCTGAATAAACCAATGATCTACCTGACAGAGCACAATGCTGTGTAGAATCTTAAGAGCAACACGACTCCATGAGAATTAAGACTGAACTGGAATATCTTATAAACTAAGAAAAACTTTATCTTGAAAGAGTTAGTATGACAATGCTCAAATAAAAAATACAAATAATGCAAATATAAATAATGCGCTGTTTGATGCCACCCTCCGAAGGCAGACACCGGGTGTTGCTGAAAGAGGGCAGTGTCAGCATCTCCTAGGAGACGAGGTGCTGACATAGTGGACTATGCAGCTGCCTGCTAAGCAGGAGGGCTGGATGTTCATCCCTCAGGTACCAAATCTAGTCTAGTCTTATCTTTCCCTAGAGAATAAGCAACCTTCAAATGCTAGAATGTCAGAACCGTCTGGAAATAAGAGAATCCTGAAAAGACAGGAGCTGTGGCGGCATACTTTTTTAATCTCTCCAATTCCCAGCATCAGAGCAGACAGGGCAATTAGATCTAAAACCAAGACGATAGGTAACACATATTACCAAACTAAATGCCATGATACTGGAAAAATGTCCAAAATACAAGCGAAAGAAAACAACAGTGACAAGACTGTATGATACCAGTATCTAGGGAGAAAAAAAAAAGGGGGAAGCAAAAGTGCTACTGGCATAAAACAGCCCCCCAAAAAGCCAACAGGTATCCACTAAAAACCACGCTGGGCCAATGGGAGGACAGTGCCTAAAACTGAGACATTTCCAACAGGGACTAAACGAAACGAAGGAGCCTATGAATTCTTGAAACTGACCTGCCAGACAGTCCTTCCAGGGGAGAAGCCACTGAAGAAGCAATCAGAAGTGAACGAGGTAGGAATAACATGGAGGAATTAGCTCCAGGTGAAAGCACAGGATTGAACAGGGCAAAGCATCACTGAGAGCCGGCCGCTGCTCTTTACAACAATACAGGAAAGCAGCTGAGGCAGTGGGCTGTGCGGAGGAAGAGCTACCGCGAAGTAGGCCTTCCTGTAAAAGTTCAAGGAAACCAATCTCACATGCAAATGAGCCATAGCAAAGGATCACATCAAATCCTACACAAAGTTATTACAAGAAAAACGGTAACAGGGCAGAATAACACTGTGCAGACAATAAAAGTAAGCCAAAAACATACTTCTGGATCAGCCCAAAATACAATCTTTTATTTCAAAATAAGCTAAAAAATGCTGGTATAATGATACAAATTATCAAAGGACAACATCATGCAGAAGTGAGGTATGAGATACTGGAAAGGATTGAAAGTGTTTTAATAGAACTAAAGCCCACAACAGATATTACACAGGAAGTGAATAAACACAACAGGTAATAAGAGAAAGATAAGAAAATGGAAATTTTTCTAAATAAAAAGGAAAGTAAAGGCATTTGAAAAAAATTAGAAATAGTGAAGATGGTGGTAAAGCCACAATATTCAGTTAATTGGAGTCTCAAAAGGAAAACTCAAAACAATTCTTGAAAATTACACACAGAGGTGGCGGAGCTAAAGATGGTGGATCAGTAAGCACCAAAATACAGAGCCTCCCTGAGAGAAACAACTCAGACGGCTGAATAAAACATCCTGGAGAGGGCCAGACAGAGAGAGAGATGGATCCTCTCGACCCAGGAAGAAACTACAGGGAAAAGAGCTGGTCAAACACGTGGTCCCAGGGCTACCATCGGAGCTCAGATTCCTGGCAACGGCACTCGGCACTCGCTGAAGCTGCCCAAACCCACACCATTGCAACTCGCCAGAGCCCCAGTCACACTGAAGTCGGCAGTCGGCAAGCCCAATGGAGAACATAGCTGGCGTGCAGACCTGCAAAAACCCATGGTGAGTGCTCGGAGTAAGACCCTCCCACAGGAAAGGGGCAACCAACTAGATGACATGTTGGAATCGGGCAGGATGGGCGTGAAGAAGGAACAGCAGTGACTTCAGTTGGTTGCTCCCTTCCCAGAGCAGATTGGTGGGATTTGCTTGGCCTGGGTCATGCCCCTGGCCGGGACCCAACAAATTGTCCCCAACTGATTCTACAGACGCGGCACACACTAACCTGAAGGCTCCTACAGGTTGACGGGCTTGGAAGGGAGGGGCCAGCATATGCCATCCCTACTTGCACCTCAGTGACCAACAGCAAACTGGAGAGGGCAGAAATCCCTAGCCAGCACACTTCAAAAGAACCATAACCAACAAGGAAAGGGGCTGGGATTGCTACTATACACCTGTATGAAGAAACCAAAAACATGACAAGGGAAAGAAGTAAGAAAAGTCCCCAGCCCTGAAAACACTGGTCCAGGAGAGATAATACAGAAGAGACTGAGGGCAGCAAACATGCAATACCAGACACCGCATCAGTGGGCATAAAGAGATATCATCACAACATCACAGATGAGCTCAAAACGGAAGTATTAATTCAAGTAAAGCAAGATATAACAAGATTAATAAAAGAAATACTACACACCTCTTAAGACACAGACAGAAGAATGGAGGGACACAAAAAAAGGAGAGCAACATTTAATGAAGATTATAAAGAAAACCTAGAATACATGAAACAGATTCAAAGAAATTGCCAGGAAATTAAAAACTCCATCAAAAGCTGGAAAAATTGCCTGACAGAAACTAGAGATAGATTAACAAAACTTGAAGATAGGTTTGCAATGTCTGATTGCGAAAGGAAAGATCTCTTAAAAGTAACAAGGAAACAGGCAGTAACAGTACAAAGGCTAGAAGATGACAAGAGGATCTATAACTTAATAAAAAATGTGAGTGAAGAAGCAGGGGTAAACACAAATGAAATGCAAAGGCTATTCACAGAAATAATTAAGGAAAACTTCCCAAGCATAGGAAAAGGAAATGATACTCAGAGGTATGAGGCATACAGAACTCTAGCCAACTACAACCAAAACAGATCTACATCTAAACATGTAATAATCAAGATCCCAGAAATTCTTGACAAGAACAGAATTAGAAGCTGTCAGAGAAAAAGAAAAGCTGTCAGAGAAAAGAAACAGATCACCTATAAAGGAAAACCCATCAAATCACAGCATACTTCTCAACACAAACCATCAAATCAAGAAAAGCTTGGAGCAAAGTATTCCAAGCCCTGAAAGAAATAATCTATAATCTCTAACATAGATGGCTTTGATACACTAACAAAAAGAAACACAGGCAGAGTAGATCAGGAGGTAGGATCCATAGAGATGCTCTGTATAGAAAAATTATTAACCTGAAAGAGGGTTTATGGAAAATCAAATATAAGAAAACAATGCTCTATGTGACAGGGAACCAGAGAGAAATAGGGGCAACTCGACCAGCACCTGCAGAGAAGCTGGAAAGACGATACTTTTGTGCAGTAGAGAACTACTCAGCTTCTGAAAAAAACTTAAGGCTTTTGTATGTAAAGGAATACAACTTGAGATCAAGTCCAGGAGGGAGAAGGTTCGGAACCACTTAGATAAACAGCAGGTTGCCCCCCACATCTAAAAACTAAGGGAGATGGTGGGACCCAAAATGCGCAGTGCACCCTGTGGGAGTGAAGGGGAAAAATTCTCTAAAGGAAGGCAGAGGATATTCCTAAGAGTGCATCAGGATTTAAGACCCACATTACTCTCACTGCTCTGATTAGATAGATTATATTCTGTTCCAGTTCGTCTACTTGTACTAGATTTGAGGGCACAGACAGCTATCCTGAAAATAGCAGGATATAGTACGGTAATTATCTTTAATTTCCTATTAACTTAATCTGAAGCCCTGTATAATTTACACTGTCTTATCATGACTGATCTTAGTTGAATCTAGTTTGTTAGATTGTTGTTCTGTATCAACAGATTTTATCCAAATCTGTTATGACTGATAGTATCAAGTCTGAGACTATAGACAACTACACTGAAGATGACAAGATTCACTAGGATACTCACTCTAGTTTATTACCTGCTTTTGAAGTCTTACAATGTCTCCAATGTTTTGTTTTTATTAATATTGGTATGTACTGCTATATTCAATTACACTATGCCTGATGATATAGACAATTCTATTGAAGATAACAAGAGACAACATAGTAACCATTGTAGATCACCTTGTATTGTGGTTTTACATGACTTTCTCATTTCATGTTTTCCTAGGAATTTGTTGTGTTTTGTCTTGCTTTGTTTTCCCCTCTAATATAGAAACATGTAGATAGATAAACATGTTTACTCATGCATGCGTAGAACTTATACACAGTTTATGAGAATTGATCTTATGACACATGATGAAATGAACAACCACAAGGAAAAAAGCTGGTCAAACATGTGGTCCCAGGGCTATTATTGGAGCTCTCCCAGCAATAGCACTTGCTGCAGCTGAACAACACTGAACAACAACTACCCAGTGCTGACTCCGTAGTATCATGATGTGAAATCCAGCAATACTATTATTCTTTGTGCAGAGTGATTTTAGTCTGTTTTGTTTTGTTTAATTTCAATATACGTGAAGATATGGACAGCTATTTTGAAGAGAATGAGACACTATGACAGTCATTGTTGACTTCCCTATTGTTTGGTCTTGAAGACCTAAAATGCCTTTATCATCCTGTTTAGATCAGTTTTATACTATGTTGTTTTGTATGAATTCACTGTATGTGAAGATACATACAACTACTTGGACGAAAACAAGAGACAACATGATAGTAAAGATCTCTGGTTGTCTTGCTTTGAAACTTACATTGCTTTCTGTTCTGTTTTGTTGTGTTTAATTTTACCTCTTTAAAATAAAAAAAAAAAGAAAATTACACACACAAACAAAAAAAAAACTTCCTAAAAATTTCTGAAATTATGTACTGAGAAATATTGTGTATCTCAGAATAACAATCCAGGGTGACTATCACAAAGACACAGTTTAGTAAAGTTACTGGGCTTTAAAAAGGAAAACAGCAAGTGACTTAAAGAGGGAAAAATTAAAATTGTCATCGCTCTGATAGCAACACACTGGCTCATGCTAAAGTAAAGGTAACACAAGGAAAAGAAATGCAAACCAAGGATATTAAACCCAGCAAAACGCTCACATGCAAAGAACGCAAGCATGCCAGAGACAAGGAATACTGTTCCCACAAGCACTTCCTGAGAAAGCTACTAGAAAATGGGCTAAACGAGAGCCCAGAGGGAAGGTATACATGGAGGGCTGAATGGTGACATGGTGTGGGTACTGCACACCTATTTTTAACATGGGAAGAATAGGGAGAACAGACACAAAAATTTTATTTGCAGCTATTTTAGTAATTGTTTGGTAGTGTCACCCGAAATTTAAACTGAAAAGATTAAGATAATCTCATGGCATTTTATAACAGCAAGGTCCTAGCTTTGCCTACTGCAAAGCCCTAAAAACAAAGATCAACCCAATAGCTATGGATCTAGGCTGTGGTTCTGAAATATGTTTTTCTACTACTAAAAAAAAAAATAAAAGAGCTTCTTAGTTAAATGTGGAAGTCCAGCTATGGAGGCAGGAGATGTAGTATTGGGTCCTAGCATTTCTGTCCCACCATACTGTAAGAAAGCTACAAAAGTCCATCAGGTAATGTCAAAAGAACTCAACAGCCAACTTGAAAGGGCTACAGTAGTCACACATAGGACAGTCAGAGCTTCAAATAATAAATAATTGCAACTGATTGGAACCATTAACCCATTAAAAGCCATGTTAATATGACTTTTACGAAAACATTAATTAGTCCAGTCAATTTTGGAAGATGATAAGGAAAATTTATTATCCTAATCATAAAGAAAAAAAGCAGTTATTCTGAATTCCTTCTATGGACTCTTTTAGTGAAAAACTGAATAGTATATGGACCTCGTTAAAAACACTCCAATAATATGAAAAGTGTACAGCATATCACCAATTTGTAAACACCAATGAATTAACAGATCTTGAACATTAACAGCTACTAAGTAACAAAAGAGACATAATATGCTTTAAATGAAAAAACACCTCAACTCTCACCACAGGGAATGAATGTGAGTAAGATCAACCCTCCAAATCCAGCTGCCCATTAAAGAAAATAAAGCTGAAAAACATGCAAAACTGTACCATAAATATGCAATCAGCAAAACCTATACCATGAGCACTTAGCAGGTCAAATGTCCTCGGTTCCTCAACAGTAATCTCTACTTTTCAATCAGTAATCCTGAACAAGCATTCAATAATTACTGGCTTTAGGTGAAGGAACAAGGCTAGCTAATTATGGACTGAAACCTCCAAAACTATGAACTAAAATAAACCTTTTCTCTTTACAAGTTGATTATCCAAGTACTTGGTTTCACTAATGTAACGCTAACACAATATATTAAGGTACAGAGAATTCAATCATATCGGCTTTCCTAACTAGCGTTCTTTTCCTTTCCCTTGAATTCCCTCATCTCCGATGCAGCTTCAGAAACTCTGCAATGTACACGCCTGGGGTTGTGTCTGAGTAGAAATGCCAGGCTGGTGGCGCTATTCTTTATGTCTGTGTCTCGTCCCCACATACTCACTGGTACAAACTGTGTGGGTGGTAGCTAGCGAGGGACAGTGGCTACAGAATGGCATCTTCTCTTAACTAAGTTAACAAACTCCCACAATGAATACACAGAGCACCTTGAACTCACCAGGAGTGTCTTCCAACCAACTATATATTTAAAATTTACAAACTACCACCTGCATTTTCCAATGGAAAACAAACGTGTGTTTCTTTTTTAGAAAAAGTTTTTAAAACATGTTTCGGTTAAATTATGTCAGCCTGACACTTCTGTTAAAAGAGAACAGACATTGGAGTTTCAAGCAAACGAAATATATTCCACACTACAGAATAGAATGTCATAAGCCATGTCCAAAAGGATAAACACAAATCGCTGAGACAGCGAATCAAAATTTAAGAGTTACCTCAGAAATGTTTTTGTCAGTTTCTTTTCTTTTTTCTTCCAGTTTCCTTTCAATACCTACAATTCCAACAGCCCTTACTCTTCCTGGCTGGGGAAAGGAAAAAAATACAACACAAAACACATAAATTGGGAAGGAAACAAAATGTTTTTTGAGCTACATTGTGTTTTCAATGTCGGGAAAGGACCCACAAAGAACCAAAGAAAAACAGCACATGATTACATCTAGCTTCCTTTCAAAACATTTGTATGTTTCTGGTGGTACATAATGATCTTTAAATGATTAAAGAAAATCCAAATGTTTAAACATATTTTACATATAAATTAAATTTCTACTTATTTATGTTCTTTGACAAGCCATCATGTATCTGAATGTAACATGGTCTCAAGTGTACCAAAAAATCTGTATTAAAATTTTGGTACTTGACAGTTGTTTTCCAAGTTATTTTCACATATTTCAGTGCCTATCCTTAGCCAGTGATTAATTTAAACACTATGAAACACTAATTAATTTAAGCACTATGAAAATTAAATTTTTTACCAAAGTACCACAATTTTGTTTTTTGTAAGTTCTATAATCAGTCTTTTTCTTGCTGAAGATCTAAGTTAAACATACTACATTAGCAAATAGTTTTAAAAAATACCTGAGATCCTCTATTTGTTTGTAATGACTGGGAAACTGGTATGTTCTCCCATCTTCTCTGTGTCATTTCCTCTGACAAACGTCTATAAAACTGTCGTGCACATACATTAACCATAAGTCAGTGAGTTAGGCTATATCATCTTTGCATCAATTATTAAACTTTTTGTTGTACTATAAAAGTTCATTCAGTCATTTGCAATAAGCCTAGAATTCCGAGACATCAAAGAAAAGCAAAGGAAGTTCTTTTCTTGGACCAACTTCAGAAAGCACAAAGAAAGCAAAAAAGGGGGGTGGGGGTGGGGCCTCCTGATGGACTTTCTATTAACGTGGACTATTCTCAACACAGAGAGGAGTGACAATGAAATAAATAGACTTACTTTAAACAATCCTGCATACATGGATTGTTTTCAATCTATAGTGGGACAAACACAGTGCGAGAGAAAATATACAATCATTTTCCACGAAGGAAACAGAATAATTTGGAACAAAACATGCATATGATCACTTGAAAAAAAGAAAGGAAGAAAAACATTTTTCAACCAGGGAGAATGACTGTGGTCAGTCACTTATATGTCTTTACTTGGGACTGCTGTGTGAGGAGCGTGGTTGAGGCACCATTTGAGGCAACACAACATAAAGAACTTATGATGTTAATGAGAAGATAAACACATATGCGTATATGTCTTAGGGGTATTTGAATAGTGATTTAGCAATTAAAACATATAGACTATTATAATCTCAGCATAAGCACTGATGTGATTTGATGTTTAAAATTACACTGCCTAATTTAAGGCTAGTGAGCTTTGAAGTACTAATTCAGTTTAGTGTCACCCCACATTGCACTCTGTTTATGGTACTAAAGCCTTTACTAGTACCTAAGTGGCAGGACTTTGCACATTGCCAGCTGCAGTCTGCTTCCCATTCCTACTTATTAGGGTATAAAAAGACTGCATACGGTGAAAGCTAGTATGCGGTAGAACACTGCCTTCCATCATAAAACCACACACACACACACATACACACTCAACTCTATTCCTATGGAAACTTACCTCTATCTGGCCATGTTCTTTGAAGGAGAGTTTGATGTAAGAGTTCTTACTATTCTGAAATGGGCCAGGTTCTTTGTTAGGAGGCGCTGGGTGCAGATGGACCACTATTTTGGCACTAAAAAAAAGAGCACAGTAATAATTGCTTTAAAAAATTCACTAATGCTGTTTCCCCAACTTTTAATATATTTCAAATCACTCTTAAAATCATATAGAAATAGAATGTTCTAAAAGTGTCCTTTTAAAGTTTGTATTAAATTCGTTATCAATGAAGTATTCAAAAACATCTCTACTTAAAACTTACAAGCTTTGAGCCCAAAAGCTTCAGATTAATAGCTACATCTATTAAACAAGTGTATGGTTTTAGAAAACAAGTCCAAAACAAATTTGCAAAATTTTAAATGGATTATGACTAGAGTTTTCCAGTACAGAGTCAGCCCCAAAGGTTACAAGGGGCCCTATAAGTTCTGCCAAAACATACTATGATTCTCACTGAAAACAAAATGTGAGAACTTATCTATGAAACTGGCCAGTTAATATTTTATTAAAACTCTATCCAAAACTAACATTCTACAGTATCATTTGTTGGAAAATGCCCTCGATCGACAGCATGATCTAGAAAGAGACCTAATAAGAAAAATAACTCTCAGAATGCCACTGCCCCAGGAATATAAGCTACCATTATCTTTATGACTGTGGTTATCGCCTATGCTATTATAAACACCACCATATTTGTTCAGCTTTAAAAGTCTGTTTTCATCCCTTTTTTCAACCTGCTCAATAAACAGTGTTTTATAAAGATTAAAAAAACTAAAAAATATCCTCAATACCTAGTTTAAAGCCTTTTATGATCACATTATAGATGTGCCTACTACAGTACTTGATTCCACTTTATTTGGACCCCCATAGCTGGAATATACCACTGGAAAACTGAGACATCGTGAGCTGGGCCTCAGGGTAAGGCATGGTTTGGTCAGTGAGCTGGGCCAGCCTTGTACGCGCTATTCATCTACTCCTTTGTGAACACCTTTCAAGACAGGTGAAAAAATAAACTATGTTAGCAGATCAGAACTGCTGGGAATAAACCATCAAGGAGAGCAACAAATATGACAATTGTGATAAGCTGTCGAAGGAAAAGCATTTCACCACCTGTAAAACTAAAAACCCTTAGCCCTATTACCAGAGGAAACCCAATGAAAAGTTGTAAGACAATGACACAAAATGAAGCTTAAAAAGGAAAAAATCCATGTGAATTTTTCATACATTCTTTTACTGAGTTATTCAGTTACCATGTCATCAAATTTAAAATCTATAGAATGAAAGAATATCCTGAATTCAAAAGCTGTTAAAAGTTATGGGCTGAGTATGCAGCTAACTGATAGAGCACTTGTCTAGCAAGTGGCAAGGTCTTAAATTCAATCCCCAGCACCGAAAAAAAAAAAAAAAAGTTAAAATGTGGAATAATAAAACCAGGTGTGGTAGCATATTCCGTAATGCTAGCGTTCTCAAAATTTAAGCAGCAGGATTACAAGCTCAAGGCCAACTAGAGCTCCATAGTAAGATCCTGTCTCAAGGAAAATTTTGTTGCAACTGCTGCAATAATTATTTGAAGGGAAAGGCTACAAACCAAAGAGAACATGTGAAAAAAAAAGTTAACCTGAATATTACTGAATTCTTCCTCAATGGAGATTTTTTTAAAAAATATGACTATTTTGCAAGTAAGTGTTCTAAACATTTTTGTTAGAGTTTAAATTACTCTAGAACATAGCAAAAGGGAAAAAAATCAAATAATCTGAAATATTCTTGAAGTTTTACTTTCTAGAATATAATTAGACTAAAAAACTGAAAAAGGACAGATATTAACTACACATAGGAGATGACAATCTAAAAATCTATGCATTATTTTCAAAACATTGGTAAGCTTCTTTTCAGTCCAAAACAATCTTTTTTGCTCACTGTAACATTATGATTAAGTCATGCATCGCATTTCCAGTGAAGCCCAACATTGTTTACCTTCAAAGTCTAATTATGTGAAATCTAAAGAGGAACCTATACAAAAAAAATTTTTTTGCCAACAATATTTGCTCAGAAGTCTTCTGAATCACATGAACATGGAATACAAAACCAACACTTTGGAATACTTGAATCAATAGGAACATCTCAGCCTGCATCTGCGCACCAGGGTGGCTAGGTGTCCCAGGTCATCTACGACACTTCCATTTTATATTCATTGTCCAATTATAAATTATGCCTCCTGTTACTCTTGTTTTGCAAGGTCAGTATTACAGTACGCTCTAATTCTGGGACAACTCAAACATGAAAAATAACCTACCACTCAGATGGAAACAGTATCGGTCAGTTATACTCTTAGATGGGCCAGTTCTGATGTGAGTGCCCAGCGACAGGCTCACAGGGGAAAGCCCACTGTCTGTGGGAGTAAATGATGACAGCCAGCCACACTTACTCACTATGACATAATGACGTGACTTGGTACATACCTCAAGAATGAATCTAAGGTGGGAAATAGTAGTGTGAAAGGTAGTATTTTTGTGAACAAAGGCTGTCATAGGTAGATCTCACCTCTTCCCAATGCCAGCAGCCTGTTCCTCAATGAACACAATCTGGGCCAAAGGAATGGCCATGCAGCACTCCTAGGAGAAAATCAGCAGAAAGCAAGATCTTTACCACTGGTCGGGAATCCTTTTATAGTGTAAGTGTGTAACGTATCTTTAAGGGACTTAATGATGAAACATTTAAAAATAACAATGCTGTTTTATTCTTTAAATAAACAGGTAAAAATTAAATATTGAAGATTTTGCTATGTAGAAAAATATGAGGCTTAAAAACAGCTGTAACAACCTTTTTTCAAAATAGTGGGTGCATTTCTTTCTTTCTACATTTTGTAGTACATTTTGGCTATACAGATTAATGTGCGTTACTCTGAAGGATCTGTACATATACACACTAAACTTCATTCTCTGTTTATCACCTCTCTTGCTTCACCTTCTCTCCAGTTTCCGATTTTTCTAGGGGAAAGATTTCAATGTACAGAGTGTATTTTGATCATCTTCATACCCTAGTGAGTATATTTTCTAAAAGGAATACTTATATAAACATTTCTCATTGGAATATTTACTTATATGGAAGATAATAAACAGATAAAATAAACTTTAAAGGAGTGCATTATAAGGGTAATTTTTCCTTCTGTTTTATAATTTCTCTTCTCCTATATGGATATATACCCAATTATTTTTTAAGAACAACATAAACCATGTTTACTTTAAAGGATCAATTCCTTTCACATACAAGAACTGTATAAACCAATACTGTCAACATACAACAGTTCACATTACATATCTGCAGGTTTAAGCACTGCAAATAATATATACTATTTTTAATCTTATGACTAGACATTTTCACTGACACACAGCGATAGCACTTAAGATACAGCTGGAACAAAACAATACTATTTTGTTCATGCTGTTTAGGCTTAGACTTGTAACATGTCCCATTTCAGAATTTATTGCCTTAACTGCTTTCATGACAACAGTTTTAAACAGAAGTACTTCTAGTTAGCCACCAACGAGGAGCACGTTCTTGTTCCTTAATACTATTCCCCAGCCTTTTGTTTTCTAGTCCTCATACTATGACACAGCAGCTGTATCAAAACTATGTTCTCTGGCTTTACTGGAAGAACACTGACACAGGCAGATCAAGGCGACAGCTCAGACTTTAAAGATGAACTTAGTAGAGTACTTCTATCTCTGCCAAAAGGAAATAAAAAATTATTGATAATTTTAAGCATAACAAAGCAAGTTCTTTACTCAAAAACTTGTTTGCTTTCTTAAAGGGAAAAACCCTAGTTTCAAGATGAGCTTAGTTTTAGACTTGAGCAATTGATAATGTGAGATGAAAACACAAGACATAACTGATTTCTAACGTCACAAAATGACACTGGTGAGTATGTATTTTTTCTATTTCTTCTTCTTTTTTTTTTTTTGGTGAAAAACTCAGTAATCAACACCAGAGAAAATAAATAAATTATAATTATACATACATGACTGGTATATAACTAGGAACTCATTCAAATTTGCTGCTTTATATAATAAAATATTATTCTAAAATCAATTTATCAACATATTTAAAGGATCCCCTATTCTTTTCCAAATGATTTCTATGCTAAATGTAAATTTACTCACAAAGGATTAGATAAAATTAACAGGATATGAAATAAAATATTGATGGAGGGAATTATAGTCCTTAAGGCAGCAAAAATTGGTTCCCAAAAGGCAAAAAGTGAGATAGTGCAATGGTTAGTTATCTTTCAAAAGGCCACAGTATGATATATTGTTTATATATATTATTAAAATTTCTTGGGGCTGGGGATTTAGCTCAGCAGCATAAGCGCCTGCCTTGCAAGCAGGCAGTCGTGAGTTCAATCCCTGGTACCGATAAAAACGAAAAACGAAAAAAAAAAAAAATTTCTTGAAGGCTGTGTATATAGCTTGTTGGTAGAGTGTATGTTTAGCATTTGTAAGGCCCTAGGTTTGAACCCCAACACTCAAAAACAAAAAATCACAGCAGAAGGAATAATCAGGAAAATAAAAACAGCTGTTATAGCTCATCTTCACGGAAACTTTCAGTTAAAGGATATAAACTTTCAAAAAGTTAAAGCCCTTTAGAATGAAGATATCAGCTCCATATATACATAGTTTACTATCGACACCCAGAAGTTATAAAAATAGTGGCAATAGCATCCCTCTTTCAGAGTAACTTGGAGGCAGCTTTTCTTGGTGTTTGAATGAAAGCATACAACAGGCTCCCCTCCTGTCAACAACTGTCAGGGAAAGTGGGTTATAGGGAGACATTTGAGCCCCTCCAACTAGTGGCAGGATTATGTCCTGCTATACCCCAAACATCACGTATGAAGTAGGACCTGACTGGTGCTTAAGGCATCACTGGGATTCTCCATCAGTAACTACAAACTTCTCTAGAGCTCAGGGATAACATGAGACACACTTCCTATGTTCGGAAAAGGAAAGTATGCTGCATCCGTTTATAGGCTCTCCAAAATGGGTGGCAACAAAAAGCAATTTAAAACCCACCACAAGTGACAGGAGGGGTAGCTGAGTGGTACAGTGCTCAGCTAGCATGTCCAGGACCCTGGGTTCTATTCCCAACACCACCAAAAAATAAACAAACATATTAAAACCTGGAAAGATGTCAAAATCTATATCTTACATGATTCTTCTGATCTCTCCAAATCAGTCGGTGTGTACTAAGGAGGAGGGTCCCAGCATCAAATTTTATCTAGAATGATAAGAACATCACAAAACATTGTCACTCCCCGTTGTCCAGATTTTCTTTCTCGTTAATCATATAATGTAAAATTAAACTATAACCACTTTCAAATTCAGTGCATGACAAATTAAAACGAATTTGTGATATTCTATATCACAAATGCATTTTCTATAAATACAAGCTATATAGATCCAGCCAAGATAGCATCAGGGAAAACTGTAAACAATCTAGTTTATATCTGTATAAGGGGACCCACACAATGGTTAAAAAATGGTGAGGTGGAAGTGTTACCCGCTAACATAGAATCTAAAAGTGAAGAATAAAAGCAATTTATTCCATATTATATGTAATGTAATCCTCAAACAGCTCGTTGTAATGTAGCCACATTTATAGGTGAGTAACAGACAAAAGCTTAACGGGAATACACAGTGAAATGCTAATGAGGGGAATGGTATAATGTGGTAGATAAACTTTAGTCACAAGACCTGCTGAATGACCTAGCTTAAATACACTCTATAAAAGGTATTTTCTACTGCAACACTTTGATATAGCAAAGAGCTTACAGGTCTATGTTTCTTTCTGAATCATTTAAAACAACAACAACAAAAAAGTCAGTATTCTCTGGCACATATTCAGTCTGGTTTCAACTGAGTTGAAGGTATTTTAAAAGCATGTTTTTGCAGATGAGTAAAATTTCCCTTTTTCAAAAGGAAAGGTTAATATTTTATCAACTTGAGAGTGCACTGAACCAGCACAAGAACACAATGGTTCTAGCAAACTTGACATTTTATCTTACTGAAATCCAACCATAAAGATGAATTTAAGTTCCAGTCAGAGTATGCTCCACTGCTACGTCAGTTAACAATGAGCAAACATAAAATATTGCTGTTTTAAGTGAGGAAATTGTGAAACAGTTCCTGTCAGGGCTTCCAACATGTCATGGTTTGTGTCTGGATTAACTCCCAAAGCCTCAAGCAGTCAAAAGGTTTTGCCGAGGTGGTTTAATCAAAGGGTGTGATCCAGGATTAAAGGTACCAGTGCTAACTAAACCCAGCCTAGGGCGGGTAGCCTGCTCACAATGTAAGGACCAGAAAGCAGTCTCCTCTCCCTGCCCTGTTGCTTTTGCTATCTTGTGGGAGTGATGAACTGTTCTCTATGATGCCCCTCTGCTTTGGAGCCAGCTGATTATGGACTAAAACTTCTCCAACTGTGCCTCAAATAAACCTTTCTTCCTTTAACTCTGGTGTGGAGTATTTTGTATCAGAAATGAGAGAAAAGGAACTAAGACCCAATGGATTATGATCTAAACTTGATAGACAGGTTTAGACCAGCTTGTTTGTACCACTCAGAGCCAAAGTAATTTTAACTACTTGAAAGTTAATCAAATTTAGGCACTTGCTGAGTAAAGTCTTAATCCCTTTCGTTTTTGTTGTGTTTGTTAACATCTTTATGCCAGAAAAACAATATACATTCCTTGTTTAAAAAGCTAGAAAAAAATCTGAAGTCTAAAAATAAAACAATGGAATCATTGATAATTATACCAAAGGTTATACATAAATTTATGTATAATCTTTAATAATGAGACATTTACAGTTTCACAATTTTTAGTACTCCATGGTTAGCAATCCCACTTGCTAATTCAGGGGCCATAATTTAATTAATTACCTAATTTCATCGGTAGGCCTTCAGATTGCTTCCAATTTCCCCCATATATAATAATATATGCATAATCTGAGGTAAACATTCACATATGTAATAATTTTAAGAATCCCTCATCATTTCTCAGCGATAAATTCCTTAAAAAGTGCAACAGCTGAAAGGGAATAAATATTTCATAAATCTTCTATGTACTGCCAGCTTTCCGCATTACACATTACTAATGCTCTTCCATTATTTAGTAAATTAGCTGAGGCAACAGAAGTGTCTGTGAATTGAAACAAATGACCTGTCCATATTGCTTATGAAAACAACCCATTATCCACTCATAAGAAGCCCATGCAAACTGTGCCTGTACAAACAGGCAGGCACACATTAATCCACAAAAGGCACTTTGGGAGGTGAGAAGAACACTGTTCACCCAATCTGGCTTGGAAATTTTCCTTCTACTAATTACCAGCTGTTCGACCTTGAGTGGCTCACAGTTTTCCCAACCATCAACCAGGGGCCACAGTTTCATCTTTGGAAGGGTCAGCTAGACGAACACCTCAGAAAGCTTCTGGCATAGGGGACTGCTATTTTTTGGGGTGCTTTAGGACCCCAGGCTGGGAGTCTCAACAATGCAGATTTAAACCTCTCTCCCCTAACTCTGTGGGTCTCCGGCACCAAATCTGAGTGTCATTTTCTCATTCACTAAGATACCTCACTTATCTGTTGGGAGGAGCAAATGAGATCACAAATGTAGTGCACAAAGCTAATCCCCTCAGCCAATGTACTCCACATTGACTTTTTTTTTTTAAAAAAAAAATGTGTGTCACTACCACTGTAAGCCAGAGGTCTGAAGAACCCGCTCTGCCTCCAAGAGCTTAGAGCTTCCAGCTGAACCAGACGCCCCGCCCCGGAGTGGATGGGCACACCTGCCCCCAGGGAACGTGCTGCATGTGGCTTGCAGCAGTCTCCAGGCCCTGCGAGCTGGGAAGGACTCTGACAAGGAAGCTAACACCATAATCAGCAGGGCTGGTACTGTGGGCACTGAAGGCAGCAAGGATTTCCCTTAGGAATGTCACACCAGGGACTAAGCAGTCCCAGACAGCCCAGTAAATAACACAGTGTGACCAGCACCAGGCACAGGATGAAGGGTCTCATCTGAGAGCTCAGGTTTAGTTCTGAGACACCTAAGCCCTCTACCAAGGCTCCCAGCTTTTAGAAGACTTAGCTCTGATACTTACATACTTACCTGCTAAAAGAACAGCAAAGATTTTAAAGGAGAAATTAGAATTTGCTTGTTCAACAATGAATTTTCTCATGCAGGTACTGACTGTGATTTTGCACCGTTTAAACACCCCACAGCCACACTGACTGCCAGCATTGCTGTTCCCAATTTGTACACTGGTGATCCACGGACCACATGACTTCCTGACCTGCCTGGGGAGGCCCTGGAGGAGTCTCAAGATCCATGTGCTCCTCTGCCTTCAGCTCCCGCTAGGATGGGAGCAGAGTCAACCCCAGTGAGAGAGGGGAGGATGTTAACGATGTCATTTAAACAGTTCCAAAGCTCAACTCGGTAAGAAAAAAATAAACAGATTTAGCCTTGTCAGGCAAATCCAAAAATTTGAGTATGCCGGGTGCGGGTGGCTCTGGTCTGTAATCTCAGCACTCGGGAGACTGAGGCAGATCACTGCGAGTTCGAGGCCAGCCTGGGCTAGAAAGTAAGTTCAAGGCCAGCCTGAACTGCATCATGAAAGCCTACCTCAAAAAGACCAAAAAAGAGAGTGAGATTTGGGATGGCAGTAAATGAAATCCAAGCATTTAACAAAGGCAACAGAGATCATGAAAATTGCCCTGAAGAAGTCAGGGGATCCAGGTTCTACATCACCTGTGCCTCTGGGTAGCTTAAGCACCAAACAGAAAAGCTCTGGGTCAAGAAAATTATACCCAAGTCCTGAAGGACACGGCAAGTGCAAGTGAAAACTGGCAACTAAAAAATGAGCTCTCATTTTTTTTCCTAATTCCAATTTACACATTTCATCCAGGATAGGCATGTTGTAGTTTCATTCAAGTGTCCAGAAAATATTTTCTTACATTCCACATTCTCATTCAACTTTCAAAACCATTTCCTAAGATTAATGCTTGTATTGCAAGACTTACATCACTTTATAAAACGCTTAAAACTCCTTTCTTCGATAATTATAAAAAAACAAACAAAAAAAAATTTAAAGAACAACAGCAGCCGTTGGCAAGAGCATACCAAAGAGGAAGACCGTGCAGCCTCTATGGGGAACCCTTTCCCGAGGGGGCCCTCCCGCCCGGCCCGGGACATCCATAGACTCCCCGGACTCCCCCAGGCGCGCTCCGAGCCGGAGCGGGGTCACCGGGCCGAGCGCGGCGCGGGAGAAGCGCGGGAGAAGCGCACGCCGGCTGCGCACCCGGAGCACAGCGAGGGGCGGAGGAGGCGGCGGCGCCCGCGCCCGCAGGAACCGGGAACCGGGAACCGCTCTAGAGCTGGGCGGCGGCGTGGGAGGAGCCGAGCTGCGCCCCGCACTGGAGGCCGGGGGCGCCGAGGGCCGGAGCCGGCCGCGCCGGGGCCAGGCCCAGGCGGGATGCGCGCCCTTGCCCGGCCCGGCCTGGCCGCCACCGCCCTACCTTCTCCTCGCCGTCGTAGATGCGCACGCCGCGCTGCTGGATCACCAGGGTTTCGTTGATCTCCAGAAGGCCGCTGGTCCACACGAAGCGGTCCATGGCCGCCGCCGCGCCGGCCTCCGCCGCTCGCCCGCGCCGGCGCTCGGGGCCCGCGAGCCGCGCAGCCTGCGGCGCCCCCTGGCGGCGGGCGGGGCGGAGCAGGCCGGGACGGACGGAGGGAGGGGAGCGAGGAAGCGCGCGGACAGCGCCCCCTGGCGGTCAGCAGCCCAAGGCCTTCTGGCCCCTCGGTGGGACGTGCCGTCCACCCCAAAGCCAGACAAACTGGACCCCGATTTGAACTTCATTAAGGTGCTTGAAAGCATTAAGGCATTCCTATCTACGGGAGTCTTCTGTGTCTGGCATGTGACCGTATTTATTAGAGGCTGTAAGTAATAAACTCTTGTTTTTTTCTGAAAGATTTTTTTTATGGCACAAATTGCTTTCATACGCTCACAATCAGTACGTTAAGCACACTGATTTTCCTCTCATGATTATTTTTATTTAAACATTTCCGATATTAATAAAGATTTCGTGAACCTGAGCATGGTGGTGTATTGTAATCACAGCACTCTGGGATATAAGTCAGAAGGATTGCAAGTTGGAGCCCAGCCTGGGCAGTTAAGTGATTTAGCAAGACCTTGCCCAAAATAAAAACTGAAAAGGTCTGGCGAGGTAGCTCAGAATGGAGGCTCCGGGTTCAATTCCCAGTAATGAACACACATACACACATATACACACAAAATGGGCCTTATAAACTTAAAGCAAATTTCAAGCAGGGCGCGGGAGGCCACGCCTATTTTCAGCCACGGGAGGCTGAGGCCAGACGGAAGCCAGCCAGCCTGGACAACTCAGGAACGTCTCAAAAATGTAAAGCATAGAGGAAGTAGCTCTCTGGTAGAATGATTGCCTAGCATGCACAAGGCACTGAGTTTAATCCCATATCACCAATAAAAGTTCTATATATGAGTATATTTCAATATACTTACCAAAATTTACCTGTTGGTTAGTCTGTTCAAAACCACCCATGGCTGCTAACTAGGGGAGAAGGAAAGAGGTGGATTTTAATTACACTTCTGCTTTGCCCAGCAAATGAACTGACAGAAGGAAAAGGGAAAGGTTTGAGCAAGCCTCATACATAGTTTCTTTCTTTAACTGCCTGTCAGCCCTGCTTGTAACCGGTAAGATTTTCTCCTCATCTTTTGTGCTCAGAAATTTCATCAAATGCAAGATTCTAGGCATGTGGTCTTTTTGTTCTGCTTGGAGTTGGTGAGGCTTTTCAATTTGAAGACTTGCAAGGTTTTTTTTTTTGTTGTTGTTGTTTTGGTTTTTATTTTCTCTCTTCCAAAGTGTTCCTGTCTTGTTTACTTCTGTTCTGTGAGTGCATTTGTGGGAGGAGGACTGGTGATCAAACCCAGGGTGCTTCACAATTGAGCTACATCCCTAGCCATTCTTATTTTTTGAGACATTTCACTAAGTTTTCCCAGACTCTCCTCAAACATGATTCTCCTGCCACAGCTTCCCACATAGCTGCCCAAACTGACCTTGAATTGGAAATGCTCCTGCCTCATCCTCCCAGAGTGCTGTGATACAGACATGTACCATCATACCCGGCTCTCACTGCCTGTTTAATAACATTTTCTTCTTCTGTGTCCCTGAGTTCTACACTCCACAGAATCCCACTATTCTTTCATCTTCTTCCTTCTCCGTTAAGCCACTCTATCCTTACGTGACTTAGGATGGTTTTTGCCTTATGTCTTAGTGTGCGTGTGATCCCCAAGCACCCAGATCAGCCTATCTCAGACTCACAGGGCAAAGAGTGGCAGGGGACCCAGGGACCAGTAGTAATTGGGTAGGTAAACTGAGAACTCTCTCTGACTGACATCACCTCTCACTTCTCCATATACTCATTAATTCAACAGATATTTTTAGAAACCATTTGTTGAGCACTTACTATGTGCCTAGCACTGTTCTGGATGTTTCACTCTTCTCTATTTCTGTTGGCGGTATGAGGACTACAGTAAGGAGACTGAGGCACACCCTCCAGATCCTAAATTTTAGAGCTGGGTAAAAACTCAGTCATCAAGAAGAAATATATTTTAAACTAGCATTTTTTAAATTTAAAAAATTAATGCAAACAATGTCCGTGATAGGGGCCAGGGATGTAGCTCAGTGGCACAATGCCTGCCCAGCAAACATGAGGTCCTGAATTCGAGTGCCAGTACCAAAAAGCAAACACACCAAACAAACATGTTCATGATAATCAGAATACCCATTTTAAAGACAGAACCCCCAACAGGCCAGGATTGGAGCAGGGAGAAAGCCTCCTTTCCTCATCCTAATTTTTTTACTCCAAAGTTGCCTGCCTCTCTGCTCCCAGTCCTCGGTATCTCCTCTGATCACGCAGTCAGTGGAGCAGAGCCCAGACTCTGCAAGGAAATGGACATAAGCCCCCACCCCCACCACCATTTGCCCCCTACCAATTGAACCCATTTACCATTTTTATCCTATCTAACATCCCATATGTACTTTGGTTTGTTTCCAAACTGGCTTCTTTCTATTTCATGTTTTCAATATATATCATGACAACAGGCTCATATCAGTAAACAGTTTTGTTTATTTTAATTGTTATCATACATCATCATCAAATAACATAACATATTGGCATTTCCTGATTTGTGAACATTTGTTTATATTTTTTTTCTCTTGAAAGTAGAAATATAGGACCTAAGTGTCCTAACCAGCTATAGAACTGTACAGTTGCTTCAGGGCTCTGCACTTTTAAAATACTAGGCATGGGGACACAAAAACAAATGATGTTTTCTTCTCAATGTGGAATAAACAAATAAGAATCCTGACATAAGCCAGGTATGGTGGGGCATCCCTGTAATTCCAGCACTCAGTGCATTATGGATCACCACCAGTTCAAGCCAGCCTGGGCTACCTCGTGAATTCAAAGTTAGCCTGGACTACACAGAGAGACCTTGTCGAAAGAAAGAAAGAAAGAAAGAAAGAAAGAAAGAAAGAAAGAAAGAACATATTACACCTGCAATGATAGAAAACCACAAGTTCCCTATTTCCATCCTGCAGCAAGGAGAAATGTCATGTGGCATAAATATACCAAGAAATGGGAACAGAATAAGGCAAAGTATTTGCCTGGATGATTCATCCTTTATCCTCAGGATTCTTCAAACAAAACCAGTAAGATTTAGTTTTATAGTATCTTTTGAATTTTATTGATGGTTTGAATTTTAATGATATCCAGTACAGCTTTTCTTTTATACTTTGTGGCAGGTTTTTGTTTTGTTTTTGCTTCCTGTTTAAGAAAACACTGCCTAAGCCAGGCGGGCATAGTGGTATGTTCCTGTAATCTCAGAACTCTTTGGGAGGCTATTGCAGGAGGATCATCTTGAGTTCAAGGGCAACCTGGGCTACACAGTGAGTTCAAAGTCAGCCTGAACTGCATAATGAGACCCTGTCTCAAAAACACAACGCAACAAGCAAACATACAAAAACCTCGCCTAACGTGAAGTCACTAAGATTTTCTCCTGTGTTTTCTTCTAGTCATTTTACAGTTTGGGCTCTTACATTCAGGTCTATGCTCATTTTGAAGTTACTGGTTTGGCAGAGGTAAAGGTCAAAACTGGTATTTTGTAGGCAGATATTCTTTTATTCTGGTGTCATCTGTTGGAAAAATTATCTTCTTCCTCCATTACATTGTCTTGAAAATGTTATAAAATGTAGCTGGGTAGATAACCTTGATTATCTTTCTGGAATCCATTGGGGTTTTTTGTTTGTTTGTTTGTTTTTGGTCTTTTGCTTCTACACTCTTGATTACTCTGACTTTGTAAGTCTTAAAATCAGGTAAAATAAAGGAAGTCTTCTAACTTGCTTCTGTTTCATGATTGTCTTCTCAAATCTTTTGTATCTCCTCTTAAGTTTTAGAGTCCTGTTGTGAATTTCTACATAAAAGCTAAGATTTTGATTGCGAAGGGTGGAGAACCACTTGGACTAGTTCAAAGCTCAGAGGTGCTGAAGGACACCGGAGGACAGGACCTCGCTTGTCCAGTGCAAGGGCACAGCGGGACACAGTTATATAACCGTGACTGAGCCATGGAAGCATGCATGCACCAGTTATAGAACTAAGTAAGAATATAACCATGGGAGAAGCACCCATGTGAGAACTGTACAATGAGGACACAGGCGCTGTGGCTCTTGTCCTCTGCTCCATGCTGCCCACTGTTGTTGCTGATGCCCTGCACATTTGTGATCTTTAACCTTGGTCCTCACCCTTAAAAATCTCTCTTCAGTCCCCCAAGGCCAACACGATGGCAATGAATAAATTGACCTGGAGAGAACAGGCATCCTAAGACTACCAGATCCTCCCATCCCTGAGCATATTCTAGCTCTCCATTTATTTAGGGTTACATTTCTTTCCACAACATTTTCTACTTTTCCATAGACTGTTTTTACCTTGTGCCTTCTGAGTCTATTGGTTCTCCCAGACTCAGTGTTGTCCGATCTTTGTAGCATCCAATACTGTGATCCACACCCTCTTTCTTCAGCCTTTCTTTCCTGGACTCTGTGCCTTCGTTCTGTCACCATCCTTCTACCCGTACAATGGTCTCACCCTGTTCTCTCCTGGGTACCGTAACTGTTTCATGTAATCACAGGAGAAACAGTTAAAGCCAATCACTGAAATTCCAGGTAGCCGCAGTTTGCTGCATAGGACTGATCTAGAAGTTGTCATCTTCTTTCTTTCTCCATTTTTTTTTTTTGACAGAGTCTTCCTGTGTAGATCAGGCTGGCCTTGAGTTCACTATGTAGCCCAGGCTGGCCTCAGACATGGGGTTATCCCCTGCCTCAGTCTCCTGAGGATTACAGATGTACACTATGGCCTTTTTGAATCTTTCAAAACAGAACCTACCTTCCCTCCAACATTTGTGGGATGATGTTATTAAAAAGTGGCCCCAAAATAGACTGCTTTCCAAAGCCAAGCATGGAGCACAGATGTATAATCCCAGACGCTTGGGAGGATGAATCAAATTTGAGCCCATGCTGGGTAATCCAGGGAAAACCTGTCTCAAAATTTAAGAACACAAATAATCAATAAAGGGCCAGGCATGCTGCTCAGTGAATATGCTCTGTATTTAATCCCCAGTACCATTGCATTGCCAAGACTCACAGGATAGGTATGTTTAAAATGGAGTATTTTAAAGAGTATTAATGGCAATGTGTCTTTTACTGTAATAAATTTTAAAACTTAAACTTTGTGTATTCTAATCATACCTTGTTGATCAACCATTTATGGTAATTTCTATCAAAAATATTAACAGTGTGTCTTCATCTGCCCTACTCACAAGATCTGGCACCTTGTGACTCCTGGCTTTTCCCCAAAAGAAAGCAAATGTTGTCAATCAGTTTAGGACATTGAGGAAGCCACCACAAAGCAGTGAAGACATTCCTGCAAGAGGATTCCCAGAACTGCTTCAGAATGTGGCAAGAACAAAGGGATGAGTGCATCTGAGGCAAAGCAGGGTGGTATTTGGAAGGGGATTACCAGCAATGTATCTCTTACTGCAAACAATTTTTTTTTGTTGTTGAACTTCAAGTCAACTAAAACCCTAAATTCTTCATAACTTTATTTTGTTCCACTTATAAAAATAATATATGTTCACTGTAAAAAAAAATCAAGACGCACAAACCTAGAGTACAAATTGGAGCAGCCCTGACAGTTGTTAAGCTTCCCTTGCTCTTGCAATCAATTTTTAAAAACTTAAACATTGATCATGTCTTTCAATTGCACCTCAGTTGGGTATGCATGTGTGTGTACTGTTCTTAGAGTGGGTACATCAGAGATTAGGGGAAATTGCCAGGTTGAAAAGCACTTTTCCAGGTTTTCCCAGTCACCATCTCAGCCACCTGACGTCTCCATGGTTTCCTTTGAGTTACTTTCTTTTTTAAAATCATGACCACTTAAAAATTATTGTGATAAAGATAAAATGTATATAACAAAAATTAACCATTTCAAATGAACAGCTAAGTGGAATTGGAAAATTTATATTGTTTTATTAGAGCCACTACCTCTATCTAGTTCCCCAGCATTTCAAAATAAAACCCCATACACATTGAAGAGTCTCTCATCTCCACCCACAGAATCCACCAGTCCATGTTGTTTCCATGGATTTATCTATTCTAGATGTTTAAGATAAATGGAATCATGCCTATGTGATCTTTTGCATCTGATCCTTACAGTTACTATAGTTGGGAGGTTATTTTTCAACTGTTCTGCTTTGTTAAACTGTTCTCTATCACTTGGGGGAAAGCCCAGTTACCCAACCCAATGAAACTTTATGAGGAATCAATGGTGTTATAGGCAGGATTTTGTGAACAGCACTGATGTCTTAAGAATGGTGTTGAAATGCTGGACATGCGTACCTGCCTGTAATTCCAGCACTCGGTAGGCTGAGGCAGGAGGATCGCTGAGTTTGAGGCCAATCTGGGCTATAAAGTGAGTTCAAGGCCAGTATGAAATGTAGTGAAGGGGCTGGGGGTTTAGCTCAGCGGCATAAGCACCTGCCTTGCAAGCAGGCGGTCGTGAGTTCGATCCCCGGTACCGATAAAAATGAAAAAGACAAAAAAAAAAAAAAATGAAATGTAGTGAAACCCTGTCTTTAAAAAAATTTTTTAAAATAATGTTGAGTGCCATTTGGTGTTGCTTCACCTAATTTTGGCAAAATTACACTAAACATAGGACATTTCATCAGGTAAAAACACAAAAAAATCCCAAACTAAATTTCTCACTAGCAACATGCAAACACTTGTAATGCCAGCCCTTTGGAGGTTGAGGCAGGAGGGACTGCAAGTTGGAGGCCTTTATGCCCACGCAGTAGTGACCCTGTCTCAAAACAAAACAAACAAAAGCAAAAATGCCAAGATGCTACTGGAAATGAAGAAAAAAGAAAATAACTGACCAGACTAGCTAGGGAGATCCTCAGAAGTGGGCGGTAGCAGGTAGGACTCCTATCCTCTCACCAACGTCCCCAAGAAATCTGACAACCTTACTACACTGCTCAGGAAAGCAGAACAAATGTGAATTCAGCGCTTAGGACATAAAAGAGTCTAGACTCTTCCTAACTCTCCCACTCCTGCCCTAAAACCTCCTGTCTCTAATTCAGTCCCCTCTAAAGGGCTAACTGTAGAGGATCTTACAGAGGTAATATTGTTAGATGAGGACTAAAAAGGTATTATCAGCAACATTTAACTGCACAAACACAAAATATGCTTCACGAATGTTCGTTTACCTTCACGGGAGGCGTCTACACAACCCTAGGGGGCGATATCCTCACTGTATCCCTTTCTCCCTCTCTCTTCCCTTCGTGTGGATCCCCTAACTGTGCAGTTAGAAAGGGATGGAAGGTAAAGCCCAGTTTCAGGTCGCTTTTACAAGCCGTGCAAACGCGGACACCTAACTCCCGAGCCCATCACCTCTTCTGTGAAACAGAAGGTCACGGCCCACTTCAGATTTATGACGTTAAGGGTGGAGGGAGCTCTGTGAATCTGTGCTGTGAGGACGGTATTTAGCCGCCATTCCCTCCCCAGTGAGCAGCCAATGTGGAATAAGAAGCGCAGCCACACACTTTCTTCTCTGCCTCCCTCCGTGAGCTGTGAGTACCTAAAGTCTTCTCTGGTCCTGAATCTTTGTCAACCCCAGTCCTGCTACAAGCGGGTAGGCTGACTCCACCCACGTCGCAAGTCCAGGACCGAGTTTGAAATCGAAGACCTGAGCACCACTAGCGCTCTACAGCCGCTGGGCCCGCCCCCTGTAACCGCAGCGCAGGCTCCGCCCCCGGCACCCATTGGCCCATTCAATTCTCGCCCGCACCAATGGGTGGCGGCGATCTTAAAGTCGGAGCCCGCGGCCGCGCTCCGGGAGAGTTGTAGTGACGGTCTGAGGCACTCCCAACCTCTCCAGTATCCCCGGCCGTGCCCTGGGGTCTGCGGTTGCCCCTGATTCAGGGAGCCCACTCTTCGTTCAAAGGTGAAAGTAGTGGAAGAAGCGGCGCGAGCTGGTAAGCGGCTGATCTGCTGAAGTAAAGCCGCTGGGAGCGGGTCCAGGGCTCGGGACCCTCGACCCGAGGACCAGTTTTACGTCCAGCCACCTCCGAAGGTCGTCGTCCGCGCGAGGGTGATAGTGTGGGGCTGAGCCCTTGCCTTGCGGTCGCCGCAGACCGAAAAGGGCACGAGCGGCGCAGCGGGACTCCCGCGTGAAATCGGTTTACCCCGGGGCTTGCGGGGGCTGGGGGCGGGGCGCCCGGACCGACTGCGCCTGCGCGGGGCCCTTCCTCGGCGCTCACTGCCTGGGTTTCGCGATTTGGTCCTCGGCTTTTGGCCATCTAAATAGACTGCGATGTTTTACAGGAATAATAGTGGGTTTTTTTTTTTAAACTTGTTTTTTGTTCCACACATGAGAAAACAGAAGAAAATCCTCACCGTACATGTTTCGAGTAAATTGATCTTGGAGACTAGTATCATCCCTACCATTTAGTTTCCTAAAAGTTTGCCTTTTTGTAACAATATATTGAAAATAAGGTTCTCTAGATTTTTCACACACAGAAGTCAGTGTGATATTTTTCTTTTTTTGTTATTGAGACTTTTTAATGCAGAGTGATTGTGGATGCCATTTATGGCAACGACTTATTAATTGGATTACTTCTTAATTAGAAATTTTGTTAAATAGAAGATACCGTTTCAAGTGGAAGTGCTTTTTTAATTATTTTTTTTTTTTTTGAGACGATCTCACTAAGTCCCTGAGTTGCCCAGGCTGGGCTCGAAGTTGTGATCCTCCTGCCTCGGTCTCTTATTAGAGTGCTGCTGGGATTACTCTTAATAATGTGTGAACCGTGCTTGGCTTTCAGAAGAGTTTTCAACGTAAAACTCGCATTTAGTCAACATATTTATTTTCTGTTATTTAACGTCTGAACTAAGGTTGACTTGTTGCTCTTTCCTTGTTAGATCAAAGAAGACAAATATTCAAGGAATATCTTTTGGAACGAAAACTCACTTTTGACATAGAAGGAGAAATTCAGATTTCCAGGTGAGGTCGAATTTACTGCGTTACACTCTAGAAAATTATTTTGGAGCTGTTCAATAAAAACTTAATTGTACCACATCTGTAATTTAAAATTTTCTATCAGTGACACTTAAGACATACTAAAAATATGAAATGAATTTTAATAAAATTATATTCCTGATACTGTTTCAGTATGGGAGGGCTGGAGGTGTAGCTCAGTGGTTGAACACTTGCTGAGCATGCTCTAGGCCCTAGGTTGAGTCCCCAACATCACAAAAAGAAAAAAGAACTATTATAATAGTTTATATTTATTTCTAATACAAACTCTTTCAAACCTGGTGTGTATTTTGCATTCTTATTTTGGTGCAGCACTTAATCATTGTTTTCTATATAACGTTACGCTATCTAAAGGGAGCTAGTTTTAAAGCAACTGTGTGTGTATCAAAATACTGACTTTTGATCTATACTGTGCTACAAGTTAGGCTTTTTATAATTTAGTAAAGCTTTTGTTTATTTTTGTTTGTTTGTTTGTTTGTTTGATGCTGGGAATTGAATTTATGGCCTCCCAAATGCTAATTTAACTGAAGGTTCTACTACTGACTACATCCACAGCCCTCTAGCAAGGTTTTTGCTCAGTGTATGGGAGGAGCTGTTCTTCAGAAAAGTAGCTAGCCCTCCTAGATGTTTGGCACTTTGAAAAGGATTTATTTTAGATTCAACTTTCCATAGAAAGAGTTTTGTATTATTTTGTTAATTATTTTGTTTAAGTAGTACCTGGTTGTGGAAAAAATAAAAACCTATGGAAGTATATGAAACAGGAAAAAGGTTCCATTACTCTGGAGTTAACTACACTGTCTTTGTAAGTCTCTCTTGCATCTAAGTGTTCAAACAAGCATCATTCAAAGCATATAGCACAGGATCGAAGTTTAAGGGCAGCTTGGCTCTGTAATGAGTTCAAGACCACCCTAAACTACATAGTGAGACCTGTCTCAAAAAAAAGCGTGTACAAGCTATGTCAAAATTCCATCTCAAAGCTGACCGAGCAAATGCATATGTAAGGCAGCATAATAAACATGACTAATCATAAAAATACAGAAGTTTTACAATTCTATCATGAATAACTTTTCACATGTTAACATATGTGAATTTGGGATTATGTTCTTAAATGGTGTGTAAAATTGATGGTATTTTTTTTCTTAATTTTATGTAAAATCATTACAGTCACCTACTAAGATAGTTTTATAACCTGTACTAGTTAATCTATAGCTGTAGAAAAGGATTTCTATTCTGTAGGGAGAAAGTACAGATTTTAAGAAAAGATCTTTTAAATGCCTCTGCCATACTGTTTATACTGTTAAAACACACTATAATAAAGTTTTGCTTAGGACACATAAGTCTCAACTCATTTCTGTTAAAATCTAGAGCTATGGGGCTAGGGATGTATTTCAGTAGAACAGGTACTTACCATAGACGTTAGGTTTGATCCCAGAACCACAAACAAAATCACAACACGAGTTAATTGTCACTATTCCCTCATTCTCCCCCCAAAGGAAATCTCCCTGATAGGAGATTAATTTATTTTATCTTATTTATTTCTTTTTCTAAGTAATAGAATGATGACATCTGAGGACCAGGTCCAAGAAAGGACAGAACCTCTGAAACTTAAAACAAACATGGTGAGATACAGACGTAGCATGCCTAAACTGCCCCCTTTTCCCTTTCCCTTTCCTAAGCTCTTTCTGAAACAAATGAGTTCTAAAATACTGATTTGCATTTTAGGCTGATAAAGAAAATATCAGAAGACATACAGAAAACATTAATACAACAATGGAAAAGAATTATATTCCCTTAAAAGCTTCTAATGAATTAACCAATTCTCCAGCAATTGAAACACATAATCTTGAGGCTGATGATCAAACTTTACAGTTGTTACCAGTTAACAATGATTCTCAAAATCAAACTATGACGCTAAGCCAGGCATTTCATCTTAAAAAAAATCATAAAAAAAAGCAGGTGATTGCAGAAAAACCAAAGCAAGATGCTAGCGTGCTCAAGAAACCTGTGCTAGGATATTATCATGGCCAAATCGTTCAGTCTAAGGTTAATTCATTCAGAAAACCTCTACAAGTCAAAGATGAGAGTTCTGCAACAAAGAAACTTTGTGCTTCTGTTTCTAAAGGCACAAAGCCTAACTCTGTAAAGACAAGCAATGCAACAAAAAGTTATAAAGCCTCAAATATGACTGCCACCACTACACTTGAGAACCTTACATCTCAGAACACACAGCTTGTACGGCCTCCCAATAGAAATCACAGTAACACCCAGCACAAGGCCAAACAAGACATTAGCAGAACCTCTGCCAATGTTACAGTCCCAAAGAATCCCACTGAAAAAGAACAATTACAGTCAGAAACAGTTCTAGGAAGTGTCAAATCCAGTTCTCAGGGCACAAAAAATAAGGCCTTACAATCAAAAACAGTTCTACCCGTGGTCAAAACCTCTTCTCAGGATGTAAAAAGAAGTAAGACATTATCCCAAAACACATCTGAAAATATAGCCAGGCCTATTTCATTTCCTAATATCAAACTGACAGAAAAGTCAAAAACTGTTGACCACCGAAGACATACATTAGCAAAAGCCACTGTGGATGGATCAGCTCAGCTCAAAGAAACTGCAAAAGAAAGAAAGTGAGTAGATACGTTTTTTCCTACTTAGAGTGCCATTTGTGGTTTGGGCTTGTAATTTTCTCAAATGTGTTACTTTGATGAATTTTTTTCTGTTATATGCAAGTAGCTTTATGTCGTCACTGACCAAAAGTAATTGTGTCAGGGTGTGTCTTCTCAGTTGCTCTTGGTAATATAAGTTGGATACTTAATAATAATTGGGAAATGTTTTATAACTGCACCATTTGAAGTACTTGTCCCTTTGGCAGGATTCTACTGTGAGTACCCACGTATTGTTAAATCCTTCTTCTGACTGTAGAGCTCATCTGAATGAGAGCAGAGCTGGCAAGGGAAGAGTGCTGAAGAGGCCTCCGAACCCAGTCTCTGCCCAGCCCGAGCCTGAGGGACCAAATGCAAACCCTGTTGGATCGTTCTGGACTACGATGGCAGAAGAGGATGAGCAAAGACTATTTACTGACAAAGTGAACAAGATATTTTCTGAATGCCTGAAACTCATTCATGAGGTAGAGTCTTTCCTGTGTATTTGTGCAAGATTTTATAGTGTCCAAATTATTTTCATAAACATTTATCTCATTAAATTACATTATTTTTTCTTTGACTAAATAATGCCAGTGACATTATGTTGACTTAGTTCTATGAGGTCTTTAGCCTTTAATCAGCTTCATTTTGCATTGAGTTCACAAAGATATATCAGAGTTAATAGGTTTTTTCTCAAGTTATAAATGTTATATTGCTCTTAGACATTTAACATCCAGTGAACTGGGGTGGATGTTTACTTTTCCTGAGATTTCTATTTCTTGGATTTGTTCAGCATTTTTACTAATTATTAAAGACTAGCACAAAAAAAAACTACTATTAAGAGTAATTATCACAGAGCAATCAGAGATTCAAGTTAACTAAAATATTTTTAAACAGAATCCCATTACTCTGTAAGTACCACACGTTAACCGATTGTACCACTGGAGCACCCTAAATTGCATTAATCTAAACCAGTGTTATGCTGGTGTAGAATTTATTATACAAGTTTTTATTAGACAAAAATTCTCTGGTGTATAATAACCAATTCTAAAATGCTTTATTTCTTGCTAACTCTTTGTTCTTCCTGTGGACACTCACTACTAGGACCCATAGCAAGACTGAATTCAGGATGTGATTTCAACCTTACCTTTTCATGAGCATCTTTAAAATTTGTGATTCTGAGGATCAGGAAAAATTATAATCAAAGCTGGGTACAATAACACAAGCCTGTAATTTCAGCACTTGGGAGGCTAAGACAAGATTTGAGGCCAGCTTGGGCTACAAGTACAAGGCCAGCTCAAACTGTATAACGAGACCCTATCTCAAAAAAGAAAGAAAGAAAGAAATTACAATCAAGAAAATTCTAGTTCTATTCTTATTTCTGCTAGCTGAGGTTTTTTGATTCATGAATTTTTTTTTTTTTTTTTTTTTTTTTGCCCTATCAGTTGACTGTATAACCTTTATGTACACCATTGTAGATTCACTTTAACCTTAATACCAAAATTTGACAAAGACTGTAAAGGGGGAAGAAAGAGTATTCTCATAAACATTTGGTAGGAACAGAAATTTTGAATTATAAAAATAGAAGCCCACACCGGGCGTGGTGGCTCACGCCTGTAATCCCAGCACTCATGAGGCTGAGGTGGGAGGATTGTTGCGAGTTCGAGACCAGCGTGGGCTGCAGAGTGAGCTCAAGGCCAGCCTGAACTGCATAGCGAGACCCTGTCTCAAAAAAGACAAAAAAAAAAAAAAAAAAAAAAATAGAAGCCCACTATGTGCCTAAAGAAGGATAAATATCAAAATCAAGCGCGATGTTAGGAGTTTTTTGTTAGGTAATTTTTATTAATATGTATCTGAACTAATATTTAATTTTTTTGCTGCCTCCTACTCACATTTCATATGTTGCTGTTGCTTCTCCTCCTGCTTCTTTTTAGCTTATTAGCCATGCAAAATAAGTTGAAGTTAGGATGATAGTAATCATTTTTATGAATAATTTTCTATCATTATTATCGATTCTTTTTTTCCTGTCCTGGGGATTGAAGCCAACCTTTGTACTGAGCTGCGTCTTTAGCTCTTTTGTTTGTTACTTTGATGGGGCTTTGTAGGTCACTGAGTTGCCCAGGCTGAGCTTGAACAAGATCTTACTGCCTCAGCCCCCCAGAGTGCTGGGGCTACAGGTATGTACCACACCTAGCTTACTGATCTGGATTATGGAAAGGATATTAATTGTGTATAGTGCTGGCTGTGTGTTGCACACCTGTAATACCAGCACTCGTGAGAGGCTGAAACAAAAGTGCTGTGATTGCGAAGCCAGCCTGGGTTACTTGGTAACTTCAAGGTCAGCCTGAATCTCCATAGGGAGGCTATATTTCAAAGAAACAAAACAACAAAAATTGTTTACATATTGTAAATTTTTAAAAATCACATTTTATTTCTTGTTATTTTAGGGATACCCAAAAGAAGAAATAATGACCACACTGAATGACGTGATTAAAAATATTCCAGATGCTAAAAAACTTGTTAAGTATTGGATATGTCTTATACGTATTGAATCAATCACAAGTCCTGTTGAAAATATTATCTCAATCTATGAGAAGGCCATTCTTGCAGGAGCTCAGGTGAGGCTAAAATTTACTGATCTCTGTTATTACAATGTAAATGACGTAGGATTATTTTGAAACATCACAATGTAACTTGATAATATTGCCCTCATACATTACAGGAATAATAAGTGTTTAAAGACCACAGTGGATCCGGGGGTGTCGCTTAATAGTGAAGCATAGAAAACTGCCTGGGTTCAGTCTCCAGCACCAAATATAAATAAAAGATTCATACCTGTTGTTTCTCAAACTTTTAAAACTTACATAGGTACTACCAATGATTAGCTCTTAGAAAATGGGTATAAGTTGCTATAACTTTTAATGAAAATTTCTTTAAGAATTACTTCAGGGCACATCATTTTGTGCATATCCTACTTGAGAAGTTTATTGAGACTAATTTTAATATCTTGCTTATTGAACTTAAAGCAAATAGAATTAAATTAACTTTTTAAAAATGTTATCAACTCAGATAGCTTTGTGAAGGCTGGGGATTTAGCTCAGTGGCATAAGCGTCTGCCTGGCAAGCATGAGGTCGTGAGTTTGATTCCCAATACAAAAAAAAAAAAATCCTTGAAAATTAATTTGCCCTAAGTTACACAGTTGGTTACTAAAACTGGTGCCCAGATAGCTTTGTGAGAGAACTCTCACTTTAGGAGTACCCTAAAATAGTCTTCCCACATAAAATAACAGAAAACTAATTTCTTTAACTTACTGTATTACCACTATACTGATTTAATACCAAACCTGTCACCTCTTCTACTTGGTTAAAAAAGATAAATCTCTGTATATAGAACAAATCGTTTCTTCAGAGGTTTTTTGTTTCATTGGTTGGTTGGTTAGTTGAGATTCCCTTATTTTTATAGATAAATGTTCTTAAAGCATTTCCTTTTAATCAGGTTTCTCAGAAACACATTTTTAAAGACATTGTTTATATCAGCAATTTTTTGAATTACTTTTTGGTCTTTCTTAAGAAAGTCTGTTAACTTTAGTCTTAGAAAAGCCAACAAATTAAACCTTGTACCTGAACTGAAAAGTATTAGTATTTGAGGTCGTGGTTGATCCTCAGCACCACCAAAAACAAAGCAAAACAAAAAGCAGAGCAGGTACTGTCAGTGGCCCTTGTGTATAACACATTGTCCTGAAGGGTAATTGTATTTGACAGTCATACTTGAAGGCAAGTGTTAGGTCCCCAGTACACTGATCCAGAAGGATCATTGCTGAAAGCCGCTGTGGCAGTGTAGCAAGGGTAGAAAATTGAAGGCTGCTGATGGAGAGTAGTGATGTAAAGATGAAGATGTGACACCAGAGCAGAAATTGAGAAACAAGAATTAGCCAAGAAAGTTGAGAGTAAAATGGGTAATTCTAGCAGTAACATCTGGAACTGAGACGATCACTAAAAGCTCCTGGTTTGTATAACATACTGAATATATTGTAGTAAGCATGGCAGCTCAGAGGTACAGAATAAGGAACTTATTTGGGCTGATTAGAGATGTATGCAATAGTGTATCAAATAAAATATAACCATGATTTCATTTAAGAGAAAAAGAGCTGTTGAACTCAATATAATCAGTTGTTGAGTAAATATTAATTTGAAGTTGCCATCTATTTGTTAATTTTGTTCATATCAACCAAGCAGTAATAGTTACCAAAGGCTTAAGAAAACAACTGGAGAAAATTTTAAACTATCTTTAACTTTATTGTTTTAGTCCATAAGTTGGAAATAAGATTGAAAAACATGAGAAACATAGCATAAGCATTGTTTTGTTTTACAATATGAAAGTTTAATCACTGATTTTAATATTTTCAACTTGTGTAACCTAATTTTTGAGAATATTAAATTTATATGGATTTGCTTTCTTGATTATAATAAATTAAGCCAATTGAAGAGATGCGACAGACAGTTGTGGATATTATAACAATGAAGAACCAAGAAAAAAGTAACTGTGGTAAGTCTTAGCTTCTTTCATTTCCTTTATGTGAATTGTGATTTTATTAAATTTCTTTGCCATATTAGTTTATTAAAATTTTTAAAATGTAAAACACATAGATTCTTTTTTTATACTTCTGTTGATCTACTTCTGGATAAAGTGGCTTTCTGTATTATAAAGGATTTTTAATTAGGAGATCTAGTTCAAAATACAAATTTGTTATTGAGTATCTACAAAAATTAATTACCTCTTAAAATGAAGGGAATATGATCCAGGGGAACATGAGGATTTATGTGGTCTAATGTTATGAAAAGTAGAAATAAAAATGGCATGAAAAAGAGTCTTGACTCCTTGTAATTCTCACTGCCTCTAGAGACATGTACAAGCTTAAAGCTGGTATTTAAATTAATTTGGGATCAGGGATATAAGTCAGCTGGTACCTGTCTGGCAAGCGCAAAGCCATGAATTCAATCCCTGGTACCAAATACATATATATGTATGTATGTATGTGTGTGTATATATATATATATATACACACACACACACACATACATGAATCAGTCTAATTCAGTTTTCCTCTCATTTTTTTCTAAATAGAAGTTGTTTTCTAGCAGATGAAATATTAGCCTTTACACGAGAAAAACTGCATAAACTCTTGTCTTGCTGAAGTATAAGGTCCAAACAGAAAACCAGTCTTAAAAATCAGAGTTATTGTAAGCAGCAGGAAAATGTTAGGTTGGAAATATGAGACAGATAATGGAGACACACCACTTAGGTGTCTCCCAGATATTTGAAGCCCACATATCCAAATTGAGCACATGATTTTTTCCTAAACTTGATCCTTCTTTTGATTTCCTATTTTATTGAGTGGTGTTACCTGGTTGACCAAGGTGGAAACGTGGGTGACTTTTTACTGCCTCACTGTTTCTTGCCTTCCAACATCTGTTAGCAGCCAACCACATTCAGCATAAGTTCATAACAGTCTGAAAATTCATCTTGCCATCCTTACTCGCTACTGTGGCCAGGATCGTCTCTAGCTACTGAACTACCAAGCGGTGTCCTAACTTAGTTTTCTCCCTTTCTTCTTGCTCCATTCCAACCCATTCTCAGCAGTGCAGCCAAATTATTCATGGCTTGAATTCTTGACTCCAGATTCTTTCTTGTCTCTTCCATCCTCTCCACATTCATGAATTTCTTTGTTTTCGGGAACTGGGTATAGTGTCTGTTGCCCCCGGGACTCTGCAGGCCAGTCTTCTGCATTTTCCTGTCTTCATACTTAACCTTTATACTTCACGTTCTCAAAGCCACCTCCTCAAATACTTAATCTTGATATTCCTTTCCCTCACCCCATCCAACCTGGGTTAAATGCATTTGTTTATTCTCCTTATATTTTCCCCATACAATATTTGATGTAGCTGTTTACTTGTTTGTTTTGTTTTTTGAACTATATACTCAGTGCGTAAGGACAGTGTCTGCTCTTCCTCACCACTGTGTCATCAGTGCTGATATAGTGCTTGGCATTAATCGCCACCTAAATATTTATTGAATTAATGGTTCTATATTCCTTCTATCCCTGCTTCAACTGCCACTCACTAAAGAACCACAGACACTTAGCTGCAAAAATATCTCTCAGTAAATACTTTTAATGATTGTTATAATAATTAAATCAAGAGATCTTTTCACCTCAATGGATTTACCAGGGTGTCTCTTTAAGACTTTAAAATCTAGCCATGTGCAGTGACACATTCCTGCAGTTCTATCTATTCAAGAGACTAAGATAAGAGGATTGGGAAGTTCAATCCAGCCTGAGCCATTTAGTGAGGCCCTGTTTTCAAAATTTTTAAAAGAGAGGTTTGGAATGTGTGGTTCAGGGGTCAGTGTCTTTGAGTTCATGCCCAGTAGTGGGGGTAGGATCAGATGTAACCCTTTCAATGCTGTTTTCTCCTTTCCAATACTTGTCATCCCTTTCTCAGAAAAGAATAAAAAACTCCTATAAAATAGTTGGCAGCAGCATTTTGCAGTTTGGTTCTTTTATTTTGAAAACAACCATATATGAATGACTTTAAAATCTTTTGATTTTGTTCTTAAATTGACCAAAAGTTTAAATGTATAAATTTATTTCCCATAGGAAAAAACATTGAAGATGCTTGTAAAACCAAGGAACAAATCCAGGAAGTCAACACTGAGGATACAGGTGTTAATCTAGAGCCAGGAAAACAAGAAATGGAGAATAAACATAGTAGAAATGTGGTGTTTGAAGGTTGTGAACAACAGCAAGATGACACAAAAAATCCAAGTGACAATTTTAAAACCCCTGATGCAGAAAATAGATCAGGTTGCTTAATTAAATATAACATATCTACTACACCATACTTGCAGAGGTAAACTTTTACAGTGTAAAAGTACTGATTTGTTCTCATTCTTAGTGATGTTATTTATTGATGTTAGAGATCAAATGCAGGGCTTCATGCCATCTGAGCAAGTGATTTAACATTGAGCTACACGCCTAAGTCTAAATGATATTTTTAAACTTTTATAATAACTTCAGATTAGAACTATTATTTATTAATATGGAAGTTCTCAAAAAATGAAATGTCACAAGGGCATTTTAACCTTTTAAATATTGTATGGGCTTTGCTTTTCCTTAAATATTGACATTTTAACAGGAAAAGCTTGTATCACTTTAATCTCTGTGTATTAGTAGAATCTCTTGTGTATTAGTACAAGTAGGTTTTAGAACTAAGGAATTGACCTGATTATATAGATAATCAAGTATCTGCTGTGTGCAAGTCATAACAACAGACTAAATTTCTCATGTTGAAGAGCTTACAGTATTTTTTAGTTTCTGTAAGACAATTACATGACTAGCTTAAAAGTACAAAGTAAAAATAGTGACTTTTTAAGTTCCTGGAATAATTTTGGAGTTTTTCTTTTCAGCATAAAAAAGAAGATGCAATTTGATGAAACAAATCCTGCACTTAAAGAGCTAAAGTTTCTAACACCAGTGAGACGTTCTCGACGCCTTCAAGAGAAGACTTCTAAATTGCCAGACATGTTAAAAGACCATTACCCTTGTGTGTCTTCACTGGAACAGTTGTCAGAGTTAGGAGGTGAAACTGATGCTTTTGTATGTCGCCCGAATGTAGCTCTGTGCCCTATGTATTCTGAGACTGATACTTCAGAGGAGAAATGAAGTTCCAGAGAGAGGAAGGTTCTTAGTATTCCTGGGGTGTTTGTGAGGTTCACAGTTCCCTTGAACTTAGGTAAAACTTATATTACATGGACATGTTTCAAAAAATTTTGGTATACTTCCCTGCTTTTAAACAGAATTCCAACAATTCTTTTTTTGCCTTGATTAATGTGAAAGTCAAAATAGAGGACTGAGAGCTAGGCATGATGGAGCATGCCTGTAATCCTAACACTCACAGGTGAGGCAGGAAGATCAAGAGTTCAAGGCTAACCAAAACTACTTAGTGAGACCCTGTATCAAAAACAGAACAAAACAAAACAAAAAAACTAGAACTTGGGACAGGGAATAAAGCTCAAAAAGAGTGCATGCTTAGTAAACCTGAAATCCTGCATTCAATGCCTAGCAGCATCAAACAAAAGAAAGTAAAAAATTGTGCTGTGTAGAGCACCTCCCTTAAGTATTTTACTGTGTTTAGCTTGCTTTTCCCCATACTCATGTTAGTCAGACTGTTGGGCTCTGAGATATTTCTTGAAGTGTAAGAAAAAGATGATGCCAAAGTTAGTGGATACTCAAAACTTTAATCTGAGTTTTTTCCTTTTGTTTTTTTGCAGCTTGATTGACAGTGTTAAACTTGAATTTTGTATCTTCATTTGATAGTTTATAAACTAATAAGAGTTTGGGTAGGATCTATATATTTAATGTCACTGTAGTTTAGCACTGTAAGCAATAGTCTTTATAATATAAAAATGTCACTGTTAAATCATGTCCACCTAGACATATATTGAAGTTTTCTTCTTCCCACAAATAAATACCACCAGGAAAATTATTTTATAAGGTTTGAACTAATACTTACATGGTATATCAACTACAGTTTCAAAGAAGTAAAGACTAAAAGATTAGTTTAATTATATGTGAAATATGCATGTAAATACTTAGTTTTATGTTCATTCCATTTGTATTTTTATTTATTGTCTTATGTTCTAAGAGTGGGACTTTTGGTCTTAATATGCTACCTAATATGTATCCAATAAAAATACCCTTATAATGATATTCCAGTTACATTTCTTTCTTTTGATGCTTTTCTTTGCTACTTTCAGCCCATTGACTTTTACTTCAACAAGTAGTTTACGAGGGCAATATGGTTCAGTGGTGTAACTCTTGGCCAGCCATGCATAAGCAGAGCACTGGATTTAGTTTTTAGCCCTGCTAAACAAATACTTTATGAAATGCCATTCACTTGTGCTGGGAATTGAGAGGGCCTTGTCTTACTTTCTCATCACTGAGACATAATACCCAACACCCACAATTTAAAGGAAGAAAGGTTTATTTTCAGCTCACAGTTTGTAGAGGTTTTATCCATATTTGACTGGTTCTGAGGCAAGCCAGCACAATGGAGGAGAAACAACTCTAAAGAGTCACGGTGGAAAGCAGAGAGATCGAGGGAGGTAGAGGAAAGACAGATGCAAGTAATGCACCCGATGAGCCACCTCTTCCAACCAGAGCCCATCTAACAGCACCTAACATACCAATCACCTTCCAAAAGGCCCACCTATGAATGCATGAGGCTTTGGGGAACAGAGGAGATAGAAGCCATAACCAGCCCCACACAAGCCGAGTATTGCTCTACTGAGCTACATCCCCAGCCTGTACTCTATCTTGAAATTCAAAGCTAGATTATTAGGTCTCAACTACAGCTAATTTGCACCACCCGTGCCTCGCCCTAGACATTTTCACATGGAGACATTGTTGGTTGTACTCACTTCAGATAGTGGATATTGCTGCTACCTAATGGTTGGAGGCCAGAGGTGCACATGACCACACAACTCTGCCTTTAGTAAAGAACTATCCAGTCCCAAAGTCCACAATGCTGAGGTTGAGAAGTTAGATTACTGTGTGCTTTCTCCTTGTTAATGCTCTAGTGATTTCTTAATCACTCTCCCTCTCAGCCAATGAACTTTGTTTGCCTCCTGATTTAACAACTGATTCCTACCCTACAATGTTGATTTCGATGCCAAGAACTGTTTCTGGCGTCTTCACTGCTCTGGCAGCTTGCTTACTCCCTGTTTGGTTAATGCTTGACTTTATTGAGACTTGTGCTTCCTACATGCTCCCTCTCCCCATTGTGACCTTCTAGAAGGCACCAGAAACAAATATACTGCTAACTACTTCAGTAAAATAAAATGATTTCTCTACATTTTATTTAACCAAATATATCTCAAATATATTCAGCATATAATCAATGTAAAAACATCTAGTGTATGTTTCTGTGTGTGTTTGAAGTCTTATTCTTAAGCCTCACATTTCTTTTTGTACTAACCACCTTTGAAAGTGCTAAATAGCCACACTTGTCAAGTGGCTGCATATTGGATAGCACTAGTCTAGCTATCTTCCCGTTACCAGGGATATTTCAGCCAGTGCATCAAATTGTATCACTTCATATAAGTACCCTCAACTACCATCACAATATACTCTCTGTTTTATCTGCCTGACCTCAGATTTGGATTTACCCAAACTCTTCACTACTAGAGATGTTGATACAACTATGGATTGTCATTATCTCTGAGCTGCTCAACATTTGGGTCACATGAGCTTTCCTTTGTTATCTGTGGTGCTGGGGATGGAACCCAGGGCCTCAAGCATACTAGCAAGTACTTTACTAAGGAGCCATTTCCCCAGCCTCTATCCCTTAACCTCAGTGCTTAACCTGTCAACCTTCAAGAGAAATTTAAACACACACTGATTGAAGAGATAGTTTTTCTGGACTGATCAGAGTTGCAACTTGGGAAACTGCAGATTCAAGCAGATCTGAATATGTACTCGTTGGTCCTGCAAATCTCAAGTTTTAAAGGCAAAAAAAAGCGCAGAGATAGATTAGATCAGTCATTTGTCAAAAGTTTTAGATAAGTGCTGGCAGGGTAGCAAGCCATCTTGTAAGAAAAGGATTAGGATCTGGGCATGGTGACACCTTCCTGTAACCCCAGCACTCCAGGAGGCTAAGATAGGGATATAGGGCAAATACAACTGCTAACCTGCTAGATGTCTGAAACACTGAGTTTGTGTTCTCTAAAACTGAGGAATGAATTCTAGGAAGAATGAATCTAAAAAGTAGAGAGAATGGATTGAGAGAAAGGAAGCTTCTGTCTAACAGGAACAGAAGGGGGCCCAGAAAGTAGTTTTGCCTTACAGGTGAGAGGTGTCTTTTTTTCCTGTGACTCACATTAATGTTTTGAACACAAGTAAGGATTATTTCTTAATGTAAAGGAAGTCTGAACGGCAGTTCTGACCATCTTCTCTCGTCTTTGCAGCATGATTGTATTGTGAAAGAGCACCATAATCAGCACTTCCCTCTGTATTCCATTTTGGCCCTAGGGAATAGGTCAGTCATGTGAAGTGCAAAAAAAAATATTAAATTGCCCTTTTTCAGTATTTGAGGATCAAACATTTTCCAGTCCTTAAGAATACATTTCCAAAAGAGTAAGAGACTTTGATTTTCCCATCTGAAATGCAAAAAGAAAAAATCAGGAGTCCTTTTAACTTCTATTAGGTTTCTTATATCTCAAAGCATCCCTTGAGTAGATTCTACTCCAGGGTAGGTAAATGCTGATCCGGCCTGCGGATCAATCCATGGGTCTCACCTGGAGAGGGGGTCGGGGATGGGGGCAGGGCAAGAGAAAAGAGAGACTGAGACTTGGTGGGATTCCATTCAAGTCTGTTATTTTTAAAATGGCTACAACTTATATAGGGTGGAGGCGGGCCAAAGGCAGGAAGAAGGCTTAATCTGATAGGTCATCGTCACATCCGTTTATATGATATAAGCAGGAGAGGATTATGGGTAATGTAGGCAGGCTGAAACAGGAAGTTTGCTTGTCATGTGCATTGCAGGCAAGGGGAGGATCATGGGAAATGTAGGCTGACACACAAAATGCCCTCAGGTGGGAGGGGCAGGGCAGCAGCAGCTATTGGAAGCCGCTCCCTACAAAATGCCATATGGAAAAAGACCAGAAGATAAAATTCAACCAGCCTATCTGCCCTCTAACTGGTGCACAATTTTATCTTCCCAGGAAACACATACATTTACTCCTGTGTTTTTTATAAGCACAAATTACAATTGATCTCAGCTGTAACAATCATATTAAACAAAAAAAGGAATCATTGCTTAGAATTAAACCACTGTTTTCTACTTCTTTGAAAAGAGGATGAGACAGACAGATCATAGGACAGACAGATCATAGGACAGACAGCACCTGTTATCCTGCAAAAGAGATCACCTACAGAGATTGAAGCAAACAGATGGCTTGGAGGAATTTCTCCCATGAGGAAGCCTCCAAAGTACCTGTGTTATCTACTTAATCACCTAGGAATCCTTAGCAGCAAGACAAGGCCACACTTGGTTTAATCAAAAATTTCTGTCTCTGAATCTCATGAGTTAAACTTACATCCATCACCTAGTATACAGAGAACTCTAAAACTTATAGCCAGACACTACACTCAAGAGTGGGAAAGGCAGGCTTAGCTCATTCTCATAATTTGAGGATAGCAAAACTCAGTTAGCCTTGACATCTCCCACTGCAGCTGCAACTTGTAAGATAGACGTAAATCAGCCAAAAAGTATATCCTATTATGCTGTTTCCAGGTTGCAAGCACTCATCTAGAGACAGATGGGTTCAGTCTAAGACAATAATTGATTCTTCCTGCTCATCTAAGCCCCCTGACCTTAAAAAAAAACCCTTCAGCCCTGAACAATTTGGTCTGACAACATATGACCTAGCCTATGTAACAATTATAAAATAACCTATCAGTCTTTTATACTTTCTACTTAAAACATATAGTGTCTGTTTAACCCAAAGACAGGGCTGGTGATTTGGAACTCAATTTCCACTAGCATAATAAAGAGTTGTCTTCCAACTCCTTGGTGGCTTGCCTGTCTTCCATCTGATTCAGTCCTGGGTTTTCCACAACACTGGCAATCACGATTTACATGTTAGAAAGGCACATGTTATTAGTTTTCTTTTGTGTACAAGAATCAAAAAGCTAACTACAATCTTTTTTGCTCTTAGCACATATAAGTCACAAATGTAAATCATAGGGTGGATATATAGCTCAGTGACACATGTACCTGCCTGGCAAGTGCAAGGTCCTGTGTTCCATTCCTAGTACAAAAACAAAACAAAACAAACAAACAAATAAAAACCAATATAAATCATTCCCCTTAATAGCTGCTTTCTTCCATGAAAGGTAAATAGTTGTTGCAAGCTGCCTCAGCCTGATTTCTAGGGGGAGAGGCAGTCTAATGACAAGATAGTTCTAAAGTTAACTCCCAACATGTTGGAGAAAATCTAGGGCACATTTCTAATTTATGAGCAGACATATAAAAGTATTACAGATAAGTGGAGACTTTTCTGTTGGCTACTCAGTCAGGCAATTGAAAGTCAGTTTCCATTGAGGAACATTTAGGTAACCACTGGAGGGTAGCCCTGGCCATGACAGACTTAGTTGTCCTCAGTTTCTACTGGTCTGCGCAACCAGAGATCTATCTGTCTCTGAAACGAATTCCACTAGCCATTAGCTTCAGTGGGAATTCATCAGAAGGTGGTGGGGGAAATCTAGCCTCTGCTTTAAGGGTGGCCACTGCTCTCAGAGCATTTAACTAGCTGGCAGAGTAACCACTGTTTGTCAAATTTCTGTAAGGAATAGGTAAAAGCTGGAACAAAATCATTACCTTGCATTTTATAAGTTTACAGTAAAAGTTTCAAAGTCCACAAATTATTTAAGTATTTTCCTCTGTTACACACATAAATGATAACTAGGAGAAGAGAGAGAAAGCTGGAGACCTTCCTTTAAGCCTAAATATATTTTGGTCCCTTATGTGTGGTGCTTTGGAAATAGCTCCTTTTGATTTCTCCCAGAAGCTGGTTCAGGTTCAGTCTCCAGAGGAAGATGGTCACCCAGAACACTAAGCTGGGCATGGTTTTTATGTGTGTTCTCTGGATGGGCAAAATTCTAAAGTCTCATCTGACCTAGAGATTGAGGGTACATAATCCTCATTTAAG